GAAACCAAAAAAAGCACAGAATTTTGTAACACTGCAGTGCAACTCTTTCATGAACACGTGTTATGTAACAAATTAAGGCGATACAAAATTCTGTAACTTTTTAGGGGGTGTTGTAGTGTGAATCCACTAGTTATTGCTTACTCTTATCACTTCCAGATGACAAAAAGAAATTTTCAGACAGCAAGTTAACAGACCTGCTCATTTCACAGTACCGCTTGAAAAAGCCTGCTTTTGATGATAACAAAACTCGCGCAAGTTCGATTTATGCAGGAATAGCATCAGTTTTCCACTCCAAGGGCTACACAGATATCGCAGTGGAAGACTTGTCTAACCGCATGGCATACCTCTCCAGCGAATTTAAACAGCGATACGATTCCCTGAGGCTGACCGGGACAAACATGGGGGAGGCTGTGAATTGGCCATTTTATGATGCAATGGGAAAAAATTGGGAAAACAGTGTCATTTTAGAGCCGCAAAAGTTGTTAAGTTTTGGATCTTCAAAGTTTATGTGCATACGTAAATAATTTATGTTTTAGATGATGAGGATGAGGAGGGTGAGGAGAGAGCAGTTGTGGAAAGGACGGGACGGAAAATTCCACCAACATCAAGGAAGCGGAAATCGTTCCCAGGGGTAGGCAAGTCATACAAGGAGCAGCAGATATTAATTGGCCAATCTTTAGCACTATTGTCCTAAATTAACTCGATTTTGATTATCCCCATCCTCCATCGTGAAATATATGTAAACAATAAGTTCCAAACAAAAACAAAACAGCACGGAGCAGAATACAATCGGAAGGGGGAGAGAATTCGATCTCTCGACGCCCGCCCGACCGACCGACCACCCGATGTGCTTCGGGGCAGCATCTGTTGTTCTCGATGCAGTGAACTCCACAACATGTGCCAATGCCATCTTAAATACCCTAACAAATCTGAAAAAAAAGATGTTGTTGCTATAATTACAGATTCTTTAAGGTACATGAGCAAATGTGCTAGAATTCTCAGAGGTTTAAATCCAGCTATTTTACACATCCAGTGCTGGCCCCACAAACTGCACAACGCGGCAAATACCTTCCAGAATACACTCCCTGAAGTGAATACAGCAGTAACTAGAGTGAAGAAACTTTTTTTACATGCTAGAAAAAGAGGGAATGAGTACATCATGTTTCTGCAAGATAAATATCCTGAAAACAAGAGCATGTGGACTGCATTCCCCATTCCTTGCATCACAAAAAATGGAATTCCTGGAAAAAAATCAGTGAATTACCTTGCAGTCCATTTCAATGACATCATTGAGTTTGTAGGAGGGAGACAGGAAGATAAGGATGACCATGAAGATGATGATGAAATTGAAGAAAACTGCAAAGATAGTAAGAGTATTCAATGGCTGAAAAGTTTGAATGCTGATGAAAGGGGAAAAATCAGGGTGCAGGCTGAATTTATTGCCACCAAAGCAAAGGGTTATTCAGCTCCTCCAGGCCAACAAGTTCCCCACCAGCCACCGGATTTACACCAAGATTGATGTCATTGAAAAAAAAATTGCATACTTGGGGGAGCAGGGCATTGGTTTTGATGAAGGCCTTCCTTACTTAAATTCCCTCAATAATTCCAAGAAGAAGGAGCACATCACCCAGCTGAAGAAAGCTGCCACCAAATTCAGGACCCAGCTGTTGAAATATGCTTGCAATGACCCTGCATGATCTTACCTCTTACGTCTTGAAGCTCTGTTTAGTCCAAAAACCTGGCTAGATCACCCCTCCCAGCAGAGCAGGTGAAGCAGCATCTAAAAAATCTGTCATTTGCTCAAACGATCCCTCTGAGCACCTTCATGTCGGGGTGGTCAGCCTTGTGGGTGATTCCGTGCGTAGGGGCCGTTTTAGCCACCTTAGAAAGTCAAGTAATCAATCTCGGCCGGAATTTGGCCTAGATGGCATCAATTGAACCCCAGGAAGAAACTCTGAGCGTGGGCGAGCTATAAGTTGACTTTCGTTTCCTCCCCCTATAATATATGACGAAATTTACTGAAAATATGACGGAAATTACGCTTGACGGAAATTGCAAACAGGTGTTTCTGGCTCATTGCAACTGCATATCGCCACAGAAATATGCCATAAGTTTGGCACACTAGTTCGACGTCAAGACACATCTTTTCACGTGTAGGATGTCTTTCAAAACCCAATAGACGAAGAGCGAGAGGGGCATACGGAAATTACATCAATTGTTACAACCCACCGATTTCACACACAACTTCCACTCGCACACTCACCCCCCTCACTTTTTCGCCACCGAAACTCGTTCATGTGGTAAACAGACCGTGCTGATTCTAAATATACGGTGGTGGTTTTGAGCAGGGAGCACTCCTAGTCGTTTTTTTGGTGCTTACTTTGAAACCGCTAAGGTAAAAGTCGGAGTACGGTGGACATTTAGTACGCGTTCTGAAAGTACAGTTCCAATCAATATACGATCTTTAAATTCAAGCAAGATAGTCACTATTAGTTAGAGATTTGATGGGTGTAAGTGGAATTCGAAGATTTGAATGGAACGAAGGGTTATAGAGCCGCAAAGTTGGTGTAAGGTGCGAATGGACATGACGGAACTTACAAAATCGACCCTTTTGGCCCCTCTCCCGCGTCACATGTTAGCTTTGAAAGTCCGAAAACAAAGGGAACAAGCTATTCTAGTGCCAAAGAAGATTCTTAAGTGTATAAATGGACTGCACTCGAATAAGTTCGCTCTGGGGAGGGTGTGGACACGAAAACGCCCTCTACGCGTGGAATCACCCTTGTCTGAGCTGGTGGAAGAAGAAGTAAGAAAACCAAACTTCAAGACCATTAAACTGGTTGATCTGTTGCTGGGCCTCAAAATAGAACACAATGAATTTGCCTCGAAATCATTGCAATCTTTGTGGATATTTCCAGCCAACGCCAACAGCGAGAGATCGATTCGATCCCGTAACATCGTGGTAACGGACCTCCGGCGGCGCCTCAAAGAAGAAAATGCAGAAGTTATATAACTTACTTCAACAGGAACGAGCAATACAAATGCGAAACATATAATCCATTTGATGACAAAAATCAAATGGAAGATGAAGAGCTGTTGGAGCATACACTGCAAGAAAAAGTGTAGATAGTACAACAAAAGTACAACAGAAACTGTACAATAAAAGTACAACGAGAATTGTACAAACCACAACGAGCCCTAGAGTGCACAGCACTTGTCATGCCGGTTCCATTGTACTTTGTACAACAATTGTTCTACTTGAAAAGTACACCAAATTCCTGAAAAAAAAATTGCCAGAAATTTGTGTACTTTTGTTGTGGTTATTTCCTGCAGTGTATGAACAGTAAAATAAGACTTTGAATTGTGATTGATTACTTTTCTGGTCAATAGTTGTTTTTTTTAATTACTATTTAGTACTTCAAAGTTCCTTTGTGATATGTGTGCCATGTCAGTTTTCATAATATTGATGTAAATGTAATGATTTCTTTAACACATTTGTTAATGCTTTTGAGTTTAAAATAAATAAATGAGTTTTTTTATGTACAAATGTGTTTTAGTACACTCTTATTGCCTTCCAGGCCACAAACACAAGTAACAGTTACCCATTTTGCTGTTTCGGAGTAAAATTATTCATTCCGTACTACTTTTGAAGAGTTTAGGGCGAGTTTGGGCAAATTCGCGACAAAACGCAAATTTTTGGAAGTTACTAGCGAAATATTTCTGTGTGAAACCGAGAAAAGTGCCTATCCATGTTGCAATAGGTCTTGCAATCTAAAAAAAAAGTATGTCCTTATCTCCAGGGAAAAAAATGATAACTTACATCATATTTTGTACTTTAAAAACGTTTCGTTTACGAAACTTCACTGGTAGAACTAAAGCGTAGCTCTATGCTTGACTCAAGCATTAAGTTACGCTTGAGGACGTTACGCTTGAAATAAACGAGGGGTGAACCAATCGTGTACTCATGTGTACAAATTGGCCCGTACTCAGTGTACTCACAAGTTTGAAAAGAGCAAAATTCGTTCATTTCTTACACGATTTGGCGAAGTGTGTTGTCTAAACGGCTCAATAAAGCCAAAAAACGATTTAAAATGTGAAATTAATGTGTATTAGAGGGTGTACTCACCCGTACTCATGTGTACACCAGAACGCTGAGTAATGCACCCCTCGGAAATGAAGCATACTCGGGAAATTCCCACATGCATTTAGATGGAGGAATTTTGGCCGATGCGCCTGATACGCTTGATTTCAAGCGTCAACTGATTATGCTTGAAAACAGAGGGTAACACTACGCTTTTGTTTTACCAGTATCTCCATCGTAATTTCACAATTTACTTCCCGGTTTTTTGTCTTTAAGTGACGAAGAAATCCTTTTGTTTACTGCGTAAATTCATGTTCACGAAGCAACTCGCAAGTTTACAAAGCAGACTGTATCTCTAAGAAACTTTCCTAAAGGACATGAGGAAAAACTGATTGTTTCAAGAAATGCTTTCCCCCCAATTATTTCTGAAAGGGGCACACAAGCGAAAATGCAGGGGTTTTGTAAAACAGTCATTTTGTGAAAAGTAACAAATCTGTTGGCTTCATGTTTTATCCTTACACATATTAAATTCCACAAAAAACGTCACTGAAGCTAGTAGCGGTGATGGAAAGGGGTGTTGGCAGTCACACTGCATCCAAGTGTAGGACTAAAGGAACGTGACACAATGCTCAAACAAACGTGACATTCTGTCACGTTCCTGGAATGAGAGTGAACTTGGATAACAGTGCGTTTGTTTGTTCCACACTTCCAAAGACAAGACACGGCGTGTCTCGCGCACGTGGTTCATACTTGTAACCGTGAGACATGTTGGTTGACGCCAAAAAGCGTGAGACAATGTAGGTTCATGCTAAAAATAGTGAGATATGTTAGTACACGCTGAAACGCGTGAGACAGTCTCGCGCTTGCATTTGCAGTGCAATGTTTTAGAGGTATCAATAATGATCTCAAAGACAGGAAAATGTCACAAGTTATGCAGGAGAACATTTATTTCACACAATTTTGTCAAATTGTCATAATTAACCATCATAAGGCCCACAGTCTAAGCGGCCAGACCAATAAGAAAATGTGAGAATAATGCAACGAGGAAATGTCCGGCCTGTAAGGCCAGCAAAAACGAAACAAAAAGAGAGTGCGATAGTGCACGGAGAAAATGTGCGGCCTAAACCAAGGTCCGGAAAAATATAAAAGAAAGTTATACAAAAGTGCATGTAGAAAATATGCGACCTGTGTACTCTAGTCAGGAAAATACGATAACAAAGCAGAGCGAAAATACACGGAGACCATGTCCAGCCAGAAAAATCATGACTTCATTAAGCTGTTTGGCGGATGTACGGGCCCATTGGATCTGCCGCCATCTGGATGTGCAGACTGTTGGCACAGATCAGACAGTAGATGTCGACACCTGTTGACAAGGGATAAACCTAGGTTAAAACAATTCAACGTTACCATGAGAGAAGGGCGCCCTGGAGAAAAAGCTGCGAGACTGGGCTAGGCTGCACTAATAAGAGTGCAAAGCTGTGCTGTAGACGACACTAAATTGTCATGTACTTTTCAGTGAATAAGCTTTGCAAATACTTGACCATGCGTTTCGATGTGCACGAATTTTGTGCGCAACCTCGCTCACTTTCGTGCTTAGTTGCGCACAAATTCTTGCATTTCAGACCGCATGCTCAATTTGGTGCGAAGCTCCAGGACAAGAGAGGTACAGGCAGTAATTTTGAGTATACAGAACGAGCTTTGTAAAAAGCTAGCGCAGAACTCCAGCAATGCAGTTGGCCCTGGCCTGGCCTCAGTGATTTTGAAGTAACAGAAATTAGAGTTGCCACGTCAAATAAAAAACATAAAACAATTTTGACACTGATATTAAGGAGCTGCTGTGCAACCTAATATGTTTTAATATTCTTCTCAGTATTACCAATACTATTAGTAATAATGATAAAAATAATCTCATTGAATAGCAGTATCGGAACTTTCTTGGGAGAGAACACAAACACAACTCTTATTATTCAACAAACCGGAAAATCGGGTTGGCAGTTCGTTCATAAGAGAAATAACGATCCATTTGTTTGAAGAGAAAGTAGTAAATAGAATTGATGAGACCACGTTTGAAGCCATACAATGGCCATAAGTACTTCCAGTTAACGGTCTTAACAGAAATTACAACTTGAAATGAATTCACGAACTGCACTGTTAATCAGGGTTCACACCAGATTCCCTTTTTCGTTTTCCCTGACTTTTCCCTGATATCCAGTCTAAAAATGACCAATTTTCGCTGACTTTAATTACAAAATTTAGGTGCACTTCCAGAGCTAAATGCATGCAACTTTCATACATGCGGCATTTGGAATCCACACTTTGACCAACTTTTCCAATTTTCCCTGACCAAAAATAGAATTTCCCTGACTTTCCCTGACTTCCAGTGCCCCTTTCATTTTCCCTGACTTTTCCATGACTTCCCCGATTTCCCTGACCGGTGTGAACCATGAATACTTTACTTGCGATGCAGACTGCACTTTCTGCGCAATACAAATTTCATCGCACTTTTCTGTGATGATCATTGCTAAAAGGTGTGATGAGCTACAGTATCGCAGAATTTTGCAATGATCATTGCAAAAAAATGCAATGATTCCAGATTTTGTGTTGTCATCATTGCAGTTTTTTGAAATAATTCCGATTTTCATTTCAGAAAGTTGCGATGATCTTTGCAGAATTGTGTGCGATACAGAAGCCATTGCATCTCAGGAGCAATGATTCGTGGGAATCACATTTCGGATATCATCGCACGTTTTCGTGTTGAAAGTATCGCAACTTGGATAGCAGTGTGATTTCACTCATGTGGGAGTGTCTTCGACGTACGGCAACATTGATTACACGCGACGCTTCATACTAACCCAGGAGCACGAAGACGATCAGGTACAGCGGTGAGATCACAACAGAAAGGACGACAGTGAAGATGATGCCCCAGCAGAGCTGCACCCACATCATGCGAATGTAGTGCACCATCTTGTTAGGCTTGCCCTGCAAAACAAATCATTAATCACACACAAAACTACTGCGTAGTTTGTTTGGGCATAGCTTTTGAACAAAGCTGAGCATCCGCGAGAAACGCACAATCTCGTGCACAGTTCACTGCAATATAAAGCGTGAATAGTACAACAAAAGTACAACGAAAACGGTAACAAAAGTACGACGAAAACCGTACACAAAAAGTACAACGAAAACTGTATGCAAAAAGTACAACAAGAATTGTGGAAAGAACTACGAAAACCGTGCGAACTACAAGGAGGCCTGGACTGCACTCATCATGCCAGTTCTGTTCTACATTGTGCATCACTTGTTGTACTTTGAAAGGACAAAAAATTCCAGAGAAGGTTTTAAACGCAGGTTTAAAATTATGCATCACCACGTACGAAATTGTACATAAACATTTAGTGTGTGCCTTTAGCTCAAACAAGTCTTGAATGAATGCCCTTACGATAACAGAGCGCTCCTCCAAATCATCTTAAAGGGTTGAACTACATACTCTCAGTAATTTACTGACTTTTCGCTCAATTTGTCAGTACTTGTGCAAGTTGTGCAACCATAATACGTACTTTTCATTTCTTAAAGAACTACTTGGTACTTATTGAATAGTGTATTGACAATTTGTTTTCGTAATTAATTTTACAAAGGAAATTAGTCATACTTAGAAACTACTAAGTATTATCCTTGCGTAAACAAATACATACTTTGTGACAAAAAGTGAGTAACCTGCTGAGAGTGAATAAGCTTCCAGAAGGGATTAAGAGCTCCAAGCGTGGTTATATGCTTGAATGGAGCATGGAACTGCACGGTTTGGTTTTAGCTGAGTTCAAAGAGAGAGTTTGTACACTCTCAGCACGTTGCTGACTTTTTGCTCATTTTGTCAGTTTTAATTTTATTTGTACAACCATAATGCATACTTTTTCTTTTTAAAGAACTACTTAGGAAATTTTAAATGTCGTACTGACAATTTGGTTTTGTACATAATTTTACAAAATAAATTAGTCATATTTACTTAGAAAAAAATAAGTAATTATTGTTGCTTACAAATACAAATACGTAATTAATGAGAAAAAGTCAGTAACATGCCGAGAGTGTAAGTACTCTTCCGATCTGAGCTTACCTCAGAGATGCCTATGAGGAAGAATATGGCGGTGAGCAAGAAGATGACCTGGATGACCACGTCGATCCCCTCAAAGGCAACAGCAGCGGCGAGTCGCATTTTGATTCTCTCGTCATTGAAACAATCAATGCCAATCTGCAAAACGATAACAGGGAGAGTGACCATGAAAATCGAAAACTTACTCTCTCACTGCAAGCCTTTCTGAATGCCAATATTGGTAGGCTAGGCCCTAAAATACTCCCCACGAGCTTGCCAGTGCAGCAGCCGAAGCGCCAAAATATGCAACCTGATAAGATTTCAGGCCACGGCTTGCCAATTTTTGGCATTCAAAACAGCTCGCCAATTTGGTGACAGCAAAACTTGCCACTGAATTGTCATTTCGTTACACTGGCAAAACAAAGGCATAAAAACTACGCGCTTTGGGACATTAACATTTCTTTTTACGCCCGTAAGGGGGTGAATGGTATGGGACTTTCAAGCAAAATTTTCAAGCCCTTCTGAAGACACTAACGGTTCAAGCCGATTCAGGGGCGTAAATCGTTTACGTCCTTGAAGGGCATAATTTTAATTTTTTGTTTCACCAGTTACTCACTGGTATTCGGACGCATTGATCAGATTCCGTTTGCAAGCCAGATACAAACGTGAACGCGTAAATGAATAAAAACTTTACTGAAGGTAGTAAATTAGTAGACAACCCTTCTAAAGCACTCAAACGATAAAACATATGTCACTGACGGAATAATCGATACCAGTCTGAAAGAGTATGCAGTATGCACACTTAGCTTTAGAGGCCTTTTTCGTGCATGTGCATAATATCAGCGTACATTTCTGTACATGCATGATAGTGCAAAAAACAGATCGCAAGAATTTGGCGTCAATTGCATTTCAGTTGTAATTAAAGACTGCCGACAAGGGAATTGGAACCTTACGACAAGATCTTAGGTCAAGAGCAATTTTCCAGCACCCCTCTGCTCGAGGAGACAAGAGCACGCTTTTCTGGGTGCAACACTTCTACGACGGCGAGATCAAGGCAGATCACACCAAACAGAGCGGAGGCGTTCGAAACTAGTTCGAAACGAGTTCTTGCTACTACGATCCAGGCCCAAAAAGGTAAGAAAACTGGCCCGATTTATGACTTCAGAATATAGACAACTTCTTTGATAAGAATGCGAGCCACGATATAAGAATAAGGGAAATACATACCTCTGCAGCATCCTGGCACAAAGCTGGGACGGAAACAAACTCGTGGATGCTGGAGATAATTGACAAAATACAAGCAGCCTGCACACAAAGAGAACGAAACAGAATTAGCATACAGCATTTGTGGTCCTTCACTCTCATCCCGGGAACGTCGTCACGTTAAACGACGTTGAGACAAACGTCACAAAATGTCACATTCGTTTGGACGTGAGCAATAAATTAGCTTAACCACGTTGAAACGAATGTGACACAATGCTCTAAGGAAGACACTTCTGACACATTCGTTTCAACGTGATGGTACTTTCCTGGGATGAGAGCGTAGTTAGAAAGCGTCCTTGCGGCAAAGTACTTACTACTTGGAGCCAGCCCTGCACCTTGCAGCAAGTCTTCAAATCGCAACAGCAGCCTTGGTCCACAATTGGCAGGCACGACCTCTGTAGTTGAGCCATGATTCAGCCTGTCAAACACAGTAAATGAGAAAGCCGTCAGTAACCGTGGTATAAAAGTTAATAACCCTACATCGATGATGAGCCTGAGGGAACAAAATGTCGAAGGGATATGCTCTATGCTCTCCGGTGTACGTACACGTAAGTACACGAGCACAAATAAGTCACCTAACTAAAAAATTTCACAATTTTAGACGTTTTAAGGCTATTCAATAAGTATTTCAGACAATACCCGAGGAAAACCGGGGGGGGGGGGGGGGGGGGACGGACGTCTGAGCACGCGCAACAGCGAATTTGGTTGTTACTTTTCGTCTGAGCATGCGCGGAAGCGGTTTGATTCTTACTTTCGTTCTACGACTTCCGGTCTAGGGATTCGTTAAAATACCATATTTTCAGGTGATAAAGGAAGGTCGAGGAAAGACCCAAACCGAAATTGAAATCGATTCGCTCATTCATTCATGGAATTGTGGCGGCCCGTCAAAAGAATGGTCCATATTTAATTTGTGATCCGTAATTGATTTTTACCTTAGAAGACCTTGGTCTCCGTCGACTTACGAACAGAAACCGGAAATGTAGTGCATGAATAAAAGGCAGCGAGCCTAGCTTCGGAGCTTCGGAGTGGAGTGAAGACAGATATATTTCTGTCCTGAGACTCAAAGATTGGCGCTTTGAATAATTCGTATGGGTCTGTGGGGCGCTAAGGTGCGGGCATCATTTCCGGTTAACTACTACATATTCTGCACTCACTCGCCGACGGCCAGGATGCTCTGTTCATGTTCGTTTTATAAATTGTACTCAGAAATACAATTAAAAAAATTGAAAAATAGTATACAAACAACCACAGTTTTACGATACACGCAAAGCCTCACAGGCGTAAGATGAAACATCGCAGAGGCATAAAATACCAACTGCTCAAACATTCTTACGCGTAGTCCGGTTGATCTTCAAAGCCAAGTTTAAATCATCAAACTTTCTCTCTGAAAGGAAAAGTAAGAAACGTATACGTTCACAACCCCTGATCAGACGAAAATGAATGCGTGAGACCGGAAACAGCTACAGAGTTCAACTAGAGAAACTTTTCAGGTGGACACCGGAAACAGCAAGAGCCTACAAAATTCATTCTAAATACCCAGGCAAGAAACGAGAACCTTTCTGGTGCCCGATTAGACGAAAAGTAAAGAGTACGTGAAACCGGAAATAATAATTAGTAAATCGTAACTCGGCAGTGGAGTTCAAGAGAAGCAACTACAAACTGATAATCCTAAAGCATCGACGCAAGCACACGCTGAGAGGTGACGTTGATCTTTCCTGATTCGCGAGCAAACATTGCTCACGATCTAATTACCTGATCTCGGGTAGAGTATATCGGGTGGATGAAAAGCAGGTCTTGATGGCAACGGACGAGGAGAGGATGTCTCTGAAGCACTAGACAGCAACCAGTACTAACAGCGTAAGGAACAGGAAGTGCAGCAGACGCCTGCGCCCTGGGAAGACCGTCCGCGAACTGAACTCGACCAAACCGACTGGCTGGACTACGCTCGCGGTTCACACTGCTGCGTACGTCTCTCCAGCGGCTGCAGCAGTGCTACCCCCACCCTCGCCTCTCTGCCGACGGTCGGCGATCCCCCCTTCCCCCTCCTCACCTCCGACGGTCGGCGATCCCCCCTTCCCCCTCCTCACCTCCGACGGTCGGCGACACCCCTCCCCCTCCCCTCCTGCTGACACGCACTGGCGTAACGTGAGATACGAAGGGCCCCACCCGGCCAAGTCCGCGAAAAGGCCGCTGCGAAGTGGTTTTGGGTGGCGTACGCGACATAGGTGGCTAGTGGCTATAGCACAGGTATTCGCAGCCCACATTGTTTGTGGCCCCCAGCCGAAGTGCGGGGGGAGATTTACTGCTAAGAATGACTATTTCTGAAATCACATCAGATAAGCGTATCGAGATGAGCTGATTATTTGAGTGCACTTTTATTTACATTGTGAAAATAATACGTAAGAATTAAGAATCGAACCTAGGGAGCTAGGGGAGACTTCTTATATGCCCGTCAAGCGGTGACATTTTAAGTACCGATGCGGGGAGAAAAGGGGTGGTTTAGCCAATCCGGAGGTTCTGCCCATACAAGGAGCGAACTCAACTGTTGCTCTGTCCTTATTTGGGCATAGAAAGGCCCCAGGCATGCCCATGCATCGTAAATTATTATGCACCCCCTCCCCCCTTCCCCTCAGAGTGTCGCCTGAGGGGAGCTAGGACCGCCCCTGGGACCGCCCACCTGTGAGCCCGTGTTTGAAAGATTTGCTCCCGAAATCGATGGGGCTCGTTCCGTCCGCGTTCTCGTCTCGTTCGTTTCACACCCAACACAGGGTTTCTACTTCCCTAATTTGGGTACGAGAATAGCTGAAATGTGTTATTTTTCTATCAGTGTGACCGGGGTTCAAATAACGTTGGAGGTCGATTTCTACACAGTGAATTATTTCGTAGTGTTTGGTGCACGAGCTGTGTTCAAAATTGTGCATGCGTTTTAAAATGCACGGATTTGGGCGTATCTAAGCACACCCAAAGACCAAGAAACGCTGCTCACAGTGACTTCTTTTTGATGCCAATATGACAAAATTTAGTCAAAATTTCGACAAACAAAGGCATTATTTTGACGTTCTTTGACTGCCTCGTGAGTGTTTCGTCTTCTCTGGGCGAAAGTGAGCGTTGTTGCGCAACGCGCATGCTCATTTCTGAGCAAAAGCTGTGCAGAAAGGAACAAGATGTAATAATTTAGTGTGCGCCGTTAGTGATGTCCCGTGTTTATGTCATCCAATTTAACTGGGTCGTGATGGCGGAAATGACATCCATATTCGTGCTCGAGCCAGGATAGGTCCAAAGCTCGTCCCGCTTGAGTACATTTCGAAAGAGAAGAATTCCTCGATGCATTTTCAGTTCGTGATCTTACAAAATTTGACGCACGAGTGGTGACTTATGCTCAAAAGTCAACGATTCGGGGACACCGCAAGTCCAAGTGCGACACAGTCTCACACTACTGAGCGTGAACCAAAAGGGCTCACGCTTTAAGGAGTAGCCTTATTTGTCCCACACTGGAAAGACAAGACAAAGCGCGTGCGGGTGATTCCGCGCGCAGAGGGCGTTTTCGTGTCCACACCCTCCCCAGAGCGAACTTATTCGAGTGCAATCCATTTATACACTTAAGAATCTTGTTTGGCACTAGAATAGCTTGTTCCCTTTGTATACAGACTTTCAAAGCTAACATGTGACGTGGGAGAGGGGCCAAAAGGGTCGATTTTGTAAGTTCCGTCATGTCCATTCGTACCTTACACCAACTTTGCGGCTCTATAACCCTTCGTTCCATTCAAATCTTCGAATTCCACACACACCCATCAAATCCCTAACTAACAGTGACTATCTTGCTTGAATTTGAAGATCGTATATTGATTGGAACTGTACTTTCAGAACGCGTACTAAATGTCCACCGTACTCCGACTTTTACCTTAGTGGTTTCAAAGTAAGCACAAAAAAAAACTACTAGGAGTGCTCCCTGCTCAAAACCACCGCCGTATTTAGAATCAGCACGGTCTGTTTACCATATGAACGAGTTTCGGTGGCGAAAAAGTGAGGGGGGTGAGCGTGCGAGTGGAAGTTGTGTGTGAAATCGGTGGGTTGTAACAATTGGTGTAATTTCCGTATGCCCATCTCGCTCCTCTCCTATTGGGTTTTGAAAGACATCCTACACGTGAAAAGATGTATCTTGACGTCGAACTGGTGTGCCAAACTTATGGCATATTTCTGTGCAGTTGCATATATGCAGTTGCAGTGAGCCAGAAACTCCTGTTTGTAATTTCCGTCATACTTTCAGTAAATTTCGTCATATTTTATAGGGGGAGAAAACGAAAGTCAACTTTTAGCTCGCCCACGCTCAGAGTGTCTTCCTGGGGTTCAATTGATGCCATCTAGGCCAAATTCCGGCCGAACAAGCAAGATTGATTACTTGACTTTCTAAGGTGGCTAAAACGGCCCCTACGCACGGAATCACCCGGGCCACATGTTCAGGTTAAATAGCGTGAGTGTGTCTCGCGCTTAGACCAGCAGCGCAGCGTTACAAGGGTATTAATCATCTACTTTAAGGCAGAAGGGTGTCACAAGTTAAGTCAAAGAACTTTTATTTCACACACTTTAAACACAATTTAATCATCCTGCATAATGAATGCAATGAGAAAATGTTCGGCCTAAACTTTGGACCGAAAACTAAAAAATAAAGAACTTCAATAGTGGCCAGGAAAATACGAAAATACACGTGAGACCATCCGGCCAGTAACATCATTTCTTCTTTACGCTGTTTGACGAGTGTACGGGCCCTTTCGATCTGCCACCATCTGGACGTGGAGGGAATTGGCGCATATCAGGCAGTAGACTTGAACACCTGTTGACAAGGGATAATTCTAGGTTACAACATTGCAAGATTGCCATGAGAGAAGGGCGCCGCGGAGAAAAAGCTGCGAGACTGGGTACACTGAGAAAACCTTACAAACTATTTTGGGCCTTACAAAGAAAAGAAGTTTGTATTGCAAAGAATTATGAGCATACAATAGCTTACAAAGAAAATACTATTCATAATTAACAAACTATTTCTTCGTATAACAAAGTATTTTAGTTTGATCTACGTATGCTCAAAATACTTCGTAAGGTTTTAAGAGTGTACGGCTAAGCTTAGAAGGGCGAGCTGTACACTCTCAGACCTGTATAGACTTTTTTCGCTCTTCTTTACAAAGTTTTTTGAGCAAACGTAAATAATGTGCTATTTTCTCTTAAACTATGCACAATTGATCGTAGAGATAAATTTGTCAGTAGATCTTGTAGAAATTGAAAACTACATTGCATATAGGAAAAGTCAGGTTTAATGGACTAAATATTTTATACAATGAACAAAATAGTGCATAGCTAAAGAGAAAATAGTATATGTTACGATTGCACAAAAAACTTTTTGGCCAGAGTCATAAAGTCAATACGAGACAGAGTGAAGATGCAAACGTGTACAAAACGAGCATTTGCCAAGCTACGCAGCACTCCTGAAATGGAGTTGGCCCTGGCTTTGCCAACAAAGTAGGTTACAGGACAACATGAATTCGAGGGAACAGAAATTAGAGTTGAGTCTATTTCCTGAAGGCTGTTGTGCATCCTGATTGTTTTTGAAATTCTTCAATTAATTATGAAAAATGATAATCGGAATGATGAAAAAATTAAGACTGGACAGAACAGCAGTCTTCAGGGAGTACCTTGAGGGGGGACACCAAAATTTTAGCAAATTTCAGGTTCAGAGAAAGCGGCATAATATCATAAATGTCTTTGTTCCTCCTTACGTGAACTCCTAGCACTAAAGATTGGACTAGGAGATTGAACTAAAGAAAGAGCTGGTTTTTCAGTGTCTCAAATTCACATTTTCAGGAGTACCAACACAAGTATTCAACAAATTGTTTTCGGACCACTTATCACTGAGAATGAATGGGTCGCTTTCTGGATTCAACGACATTTGTTACACTTTAATTCAAGATGACATTCTATGTTTTGAAATGACTAAATTTTTACGCATCTGATTGTAACTGAACAACCATTTTGAATAGTGTAATGCCCGTTACCAAATTTCAGGTAATGAATTTTTCGTCTCCCAAAATTGGACAACGAATTTGCATCACCCCTTTAGAGGGTGATGATGGCGACCCTTTAGTTCTCAGTGTACGCTTGCCAGATTGAAGATATTCCAACGCAGAATGATGGCTATAAGGAGGTGAAACATTGGAAAAATTATGAAGTCGAAACAATATACGATCTAGCTTAAATCGTGCGCGCAACACTGAGTAAAACGGCTTCATAGTTAGGACGGTCTGACCTACCCTATGGAAAATAAATTACCAAGTGTCATCCTCTGGCCAAACGGCATTGAATTTCGAAACCAGCCAGTCACCCAATTTGACACAAAGAATTAAAAAACTCAAACACAAAACTCTAATTTTTTTGACGGAGAATGACAAGTCTCTCCCCTCAATGACGGTGTCTTTCTTTTATGAGGAGTGCACAACGTCAATTCCTGCTGTTCCTTCAGCAAACTAGATAATCAGATTGGCCACTCATTGATTTGAGAGATGTTTAAGAAGAAAGTAAAATATGAAAATGGCCACGTTTAAAGAAAAGCAATGGCCGCGTAAGACGTTGATCACGAAATGAATTCTGAGGCGGCTTATCGTGGGGATCTTCGACTAGACGGAAACACACTGAGAATCAAAACGCTACGCTATGAGTATAGCGTCAATTGGTGCAACACAAATGCATTGCACATGAAGTGCAATGCCTCCCCATTCCCATGCATTAGCATAGGGCATTTTCGGGACGCATGGCATGTAAGGTGCAATATGGCTATCGCATTGCACGGATGGTGCGATATCTTAGCTGCATTGCACCATACGTGCCATACGCATAGCGTTTCGAAGCTCAGTGCATTCATTACGCAGACACTTCCTACTAACCCAGGAGCACGAAGAAGATCAGGGACAGTGGCGTGACGACAACAGCACTGACGATAGTGAAGATGATGCCCCAGCAGAGGTTGATCCACATCATGCGAATGTAGTGCACCATCTTGCTAGGCTCGCCCTGCAAAACAGATCAATAATTGCACTCAAAATTCCGGCGAGGTTTGCGTGTGAAACGCACGAAGTCCTGTCAACAGGGTTTTACACACATATTCACGCAAATTAACGCATGCACAATTAAATGCAAAGCTTATGCACAAAAAAAAACATGGTGACTGAGTGTACTCGCTGCGTAATGCAGAAATATTTAACACCTGTACGAACTAGCCAAGGAACTGGCAAAAACCCCCTGGGAGAAGAAAGGACAAGCCCCCGGTTAGGTAGATGGGCTCAAGAGAAATGGCTGCTACCGAGGGTCAGGGACTAGGGGAGCCGGGTACCTATTGCCAAAGTACATTCCTAACTGAATGATCTTAAAAGAAAAATAGTGCGCTCCTCCGAATCGTCTGGAAGCGCTGTGTGCTTCGAGAATGTCATAGGGCCTTCAAGCGTGGTGATATGCTTGACTTGAACACTCTAACTCCAGGAACGTGACATCCCGTTGAAACGAACGTGACAAAATGTCAAGTTCGTTTGAGCATTGTGTCACATTGTGTGAATTGGCAAAAAATCAGCTTGTTCACATTCAAAACGAACGTGACACAATGCTCAAACGAACGTGACCTTTTCGTCTCATTCGTTTCAACGTGATGTCACGTTCTTGGAATGAGAGTGAATGATGCATGGAACTATACGCTTTGGTTTTGACATTGTACAAAGAGAGAGCTTGTAGTCCTTGTCGGATCTGAGCTCACCTGAGAGATGCCCACTAAGAAGAAAACGGCGCTGAGCAAGAAGATGACCTGGATGACCACGTCGATCCCCTCGATGGTGACAGCAGCGGCGAGTCGCATTTTGTGCATTTTCTCGTCTTCGAAGCAATCGACGCCTTTCTGCAAAACGATGAAACAGGGAGGGTGACCAAGAAATCGAAAACTTTGCACTCTCACGCTCAATGCAAAGCCGATGGCAAGCCGTTCTGAATGCCAAAATCGGCAAGTCTGGCCCGGAAGTACTTCCCAGTTCGCCAACATTAGGCAGTGCAGCTGGCCGAGGCACCAAATTTATGCAAGCTGATAAAGATTTTAGGCCAAGGCTTGCCAATTTTCGGCATAAAAAACGGCTTGCCAAATTGGGACAACACCACACCTGCCACGGAAATTGCAGTGCTCTCTAGTCATTTTGTAAGCTTCCCATTGACGTTAGCGCATGTTGATTAGATTCCGTTTGCAAGCGAGATAAAAATGGCAACAATGATTAAAAACGTTACTTAACACTAGAAGCGCCGGGTTTTCGGATTACCGTAAAGCGCCGAGCGGGCCAATTTGACCCAAGGGCATTTTCGTCGTACAAGTCAACTCTTGAACCGTCATTTTGACTCAAAGGGAACCGAAAACGGATTGGTAGACCCTTAGCAAGTCAAGGATAAAATTTGGTGCACAGGGGTCCAGGCGACAAGGTAGGCAACCCGCAAACCCTGATCGTTCTTAGTGTTTTCTATAGTGCCTCGTTGCCGAAACGTTTTGATGATATAGATGGCAGAATTCTAATCGCCTTGTGATCGAGATAGTGATTTTATAAATTACTGAACCGTCGACCATTAAGACCTGGCCAAACCCTCAATGCATAGCTGCAAGGCATGCCCGGAAACCAGGATTCATAGCAACGGAGAAGCTCATAGTAAGGAGGATTGAGTGCTCGATTGAGTGTGTGCTTAAAAGGCTGGAATGTAAAAGACATGTGTAAACACTCTCGAGTACTCAATAAACTCGCCATAACCAGCAAGGCGCGTAGTGGTTTCTAATTTGCGTCCTTTCGTGAACTAGCATTCAGTGATCTGTCTCAACCAGTTTTGCTCCTGCTGTATCCCTAGCATTCAGTGATCTGTCTCAACCAGTTTTGCTCCTGCTGTATCCCTGAGATGGGTTTCCGTGTCGCCCATCGTCCTGACCGGCTTGTTCAGACATCCAGGGAATGAATAGTTGCCGAACTAGTTAAAATTTATGGAGGCAAGTGAATTACCTTGAAACAAACACTAGACACGAGAGCAACAAAGTGGACATCGGCATTTTATTCATCTCTTTACGCATGAGTAAGTGCTGTAGTCCTTTGTCCCAAGGATTCGGGCTGAGCGTGCTATGAGTGCCACTGAAGGTAGACTAGTGGCTCAGTGTTCGAGAGACACCTTAGGGCGTTTAGAAGTCAATCGGGTCACCCAAAATGCCCAAGACATTGGCAGTTTACGTCAAAGGAAGCTGCACGATGTCTTCAGCCAGGAAATGTATTGCGGGCTGCCTACTTCGTTATAAACGCGGACCTAACGCATTCCTCATATGACGTAATTCATGTTTATTGGTGAAGAGTCAGTTAATAGCTCGTTACGTTGTGTAGAAACGCGAAAATGTGGTCAAAATGCCGTGTGGGTCAATTTGGCCCGCTTGGCGCTTTACGGTAAAAGTCCTTTTATCTCGGTCAAATATGGTCCGAGAACGTCCAGATTTCGAATTTAGACGCATTTCATCATTCTAGGAAAAGTCAGAAATTAGGAGGCTGCCACTTTCATTTTCAAAAGTGGAAATTTCAGTTCAAAACTCAAAATGGGTCAAATTGGCCCGTTCGGCGCTTCTAGTGTTAAGGTAATTAGTTCGAATTAGTTAGTGGACAACCCAATGCACTATAACAACAATGTGATTAATCGGTACGAGTCTGAGAGATCAATCCCGTATTTTCTTAATCAGATCAAGAAGACGGACTTAGATCGAGGGGTCGATAACTCTTAGAAAGTTGCAAACCAAACAGTTTGCAACGCGAACACATTCTTTGCAAGGTTCTGAGAACGCGAAGAGGCACGCTTTCATCCTTGAGCGTTCTTTGAAGCATGCTCCACCGTGGATCGTGCTTGCCAAGCATGCTCCTGGGTAGAGCAGAGCGTGCTTGCAAGCCCTTTCCAGATAGCGTGTACTGAGGGACTCCCTGCGGGCACTCTCTTCAGTTTCTAGAGTGGATGAGTTAAATCCCATTGTTGGAAGCCCTAACTCCTAATAATTTCCGAGTTATGGAGGTATACGTAAGCTTTTAGTTGGTTTTTCCCACATTCTCCTCACAACAAAGGAAAAAGTACTTAAAACTTAAATTCTAGCAACTGAACCTACAAAGACATAAGAAAAAGCTAGCATTGGCAAATTTGAAAATGCCAGTCCAGAAAATGCTGCAAAAGCTATTATGCCAGGACCATTTTTAGTTTTCTTCAAATTTAAAAGATTTTGCTGTTTTGATCTAAATTGAAGTTTATCAGGAAATCAACGGGAAATATTTTAAAAAAGGACAATGCTATTTCCTACGCAGAAATACACATAATTGCCAAAATCTGAAAACTGGGTAGCCAATCCTCTGTCGTGAGGCAATTTCGAGAGAAACGACTAAAAGTTAACGTAAACATCCATAAGTCAGAAAATAAAATGAGGTGTGGCCCTACTCCTAGTATAGGAGTTAATGCAATAGAAAAGAACTTTCTACCACAAATTGAGACATCTGACCCGAGAATTTGAAACCTGTTAAATAGTCGCTTCACAATATCTTGAACTGAGGACTTACGAACTTGTTACATGAGATTGCGTGCTCCGTCATAAAAATGAGAGCAATACACACCTCTGCAGCATCCTGGCACAAGGCTGGGACGGAAGCAAATACATGGATGCTAGAGATAATTGACAAAATGCAACCGACCTGCACACAAAGATAAAGAAACAGAATTAATATAAAACATTCGCGCTACCATGTTAGAAATCGAACTTGCTGTAAAGTACTTACTACTTGGAGCCAGCCCTGCACCTTGCAGCAAGTCTTCAAATCGCAGCAGCAGCCCTGATCCACAATGGGCAGGCACGACCTCTGAAGTTGAGCCATGATTCAGCCCTGTCTAACACAGTAAATAAGAAAGCTGTTAGTAACCGTGGGAAAAGTGAATAACCGTAGCCTATATCGACGACGAGACTGAGAGAACGCAGTGAAAACGGTACCTGGCTTTCCCAGGAAATCACTATAGGCTTCTTGGGAAAACCAGGTACCGTTTTTACCGTGAACAAAATGTCGAAGAGGTATGCTATCTGAAGCACTGTGACCCGACTGTATCGTTCAATTTAGGCTTTTTCGCTAGTTTAGAGAACTATTCACGAGTTCTTAAGGAGTAAACTAACTTCAAAAAGGAAATTAGTCATTGTTACTTCGAAAGTACAATGCCCTTTCCTAAACAAACACGAAACTAATGAGAAAAAGTCAGCAACGCTCTCTTGACTCGAATGTGTGCCCAAGACCCATAAAAAGTAGGGCAAAGTGCCGAACATGGATCGGGGTACCAATCATTGATCATTTTTGTTAGCGAGCCCGTACTGCTAAACCAATCGACCAATTTAATTTTTTCAAAGTTTTTCATGAAGTCTACACCTTTAAGTTTCAGAATCACGCGCGGGGGCGCTGATCAATCTTACCATTACCCTTACAGTATGCAAGTGAAAAAGTGCCTCTGAAAAGGGGTCCGAAAACGGCCTGGTTTCAGGTTAGTTTAGGAGTCAAAATTTAAACTGTTATTAAAAAGAATCCATTCATCAGAAATGTCTCAAAAATTTTTCGTGGCACCAGAGTGTACTCTTTAAAAATTTAGGCAACCGGAAGTTATCGGATCGCCCCTGTCAAAACGCGAGGGTGGGGGTGGGTGGGTGGGTGGGGGAGGGGGGTTGATACATGTCTGGGTCTGACCCAAACATGGATCACTATAATCAGTGAAATTTCAAAGCCCTATAAATTTCAAAGTATTTGTTATTAAATGTACAGTTCTTGAGAGAAGGTTGTCTTTGTGGGAATGCGCATGCAGGCGCACTTAGACACGCGAGTGTTATGCGCACACCTGCGTTAGCATTCACGGTGAAAATTTCTAGTCACTTTATGACAAAAACATTGATGATATTTTCATCACTTTCAAATGATGTCAATCTCATCGAAACTTGACGACATTTTTATTAGAGCTCCTATACTTATTGCATGGGCGTGACAACAAAGTCATCAATTGCTTTGATGACATCCCTGTAAGGAAAATTAGCCTTGAAATAGTCATTAAGAGACGATTTAGGTTTTCAGTGTAGTAGCCTTCAATAATAAAACTAGCAGCCTTGTCTTCTCTAGGCTAACAGGCACTAAAAATGCCACCTTCAAAAACAAAGCAATATGCGATAGCAACAATTTTAAAATTTTAACTGTTGTACAGGCCAGTGAGATCAACCCCAGTTTCAACTTCAAAACAACTATTATCAGCGTCTAACAAACGTAATAGACAACGTAAGACATTATGCCGCAACCCCTTGGCGGAGCGTCACCCCTGAAATGCTCACACCGCACTGCGAATCAAGTAGACCATTCTAGTCCTGGCCGAATGAAGAACAAGAAGAATCACACAAGACTCATTCAAGACATTCAGAGTGCATATGTTCACTGACAATATGAGGCATTTACTGTGAAATATTCTCACATCTACAGCAAAGAGTCTTAGATATCTAAAGAATAAGTGCTTAAAAGTTGTCTTTTGTCACCTTGTTCTTCACTCACCCACGACTAATGGTCTGTTGGAAGAGACAAGCATGCATGGAGGAAACTATATCCCGCTTGTTAGCGTGGGACAGTCCCACACTTGAATTTGCAGTGCAGATGGGGGTTTAAAACATCGAAAAGGATGGATAATGCAAAAGAAAAAACTGCCGTTCTCCGCAACATAACGCAAAGGGGGTACTTTTCAGTTCGATACACTTCCACCAGAGCGCCGAGTGAAGAACAAGAAGAATAACAAAAGCCGGAAACAGTCCATAAAAGTCGCTCCTTTGATCATATTAGGGGTTCATTTGGGATCTAAAAATTGTTTAAAATTATAAAAAGAAGAGTTTCATGATTGTAAACCGTCAAAACCCATAAAAAAGACGTTTAGGGGAACTCGTTCCGGTACCATTTCTTCCTCTTGTTCTTCACTCGGCGTTCTGGTGGAAGTGTCTCTTTGAAAATATTTAACAGCACGAGCACGTTTCAACCTATCGTAACCTTCAAGCTATTTTAAGATTCTGGTCTGATACGAGTGTGAAGATGGACACCGTCTTGCGAAAACTTGTATCGAAGCAGAATCAAAACAAGGTGCACCGGAAACAGGCTCAACTACCTTGAATTATTACCGCCTCGGGTAATTCGGATGGGACTAAGTTGCAAGCAACACTTCCGGTAAACTACACACGTTATGTTCTACACTCGCCGACGACCAGGATGCTCTGAGAAGGTAAGTTACATGGTGCTCAGATCTACCTCTGAAAAGGCCCGTTACATGAAAGGTGCTCAGATCTACCTCTGTAAAGGCCCGTTACATGAAATGTTCTCAGATCTACTACGAGGTCCGTTTCATGAGTTGTACTCAAAACTACCACAAGGATAAATTGAGAAATGGTATAGAAACTACAGCGTGGCAGAGGCATGAGAGAGTAAGCACTAATCAACACTTACGCGTAGTCCGGTTGGGCTTCAAAGTATAGTTTACAGTAAACAATCGTCCACTCTGAATACAAAAGTATGAAACGTAAACGTTGTCAAAAGCTGATTCTCGTAAGCAAGTGCGCGAGACCAGAAACAGCTAGACTTTAAGTTAAGAAACTTTTCACGCGACACCGGAAACAGCAACCGAGTCCATTATCGACGAAACGCCAGATTAAACGAGAAGTAACAAGTGAAACCGGGAACATCAAATGCAAGTTCACAGGAGTAGCAACTTCAAACTGACAATTCTGCCTTGAAAGTGAAGTATTGATGCAAGCACACACTAAGAGGAGGCATTGATCTTTCCTCATCCACGCTCACAATCCTGTTACCTGATCTTCCTTTCAGTATAACGGGCGATGAAGAGAAGGTTTTGATGGCATCAAACAAGGAGCGAACGTCTCTGAAGCGCTGAGCAGCAACCTCAACAGCAGCCTTAGGAACAGAAATCCTAGCAGACGCGTCTGCGCCCTAGGGTGACCGACCGTCCACGAACTGAATTTAACCGACCGGACTGGACAGTGCTCCGCTCGAGGATCACGCTGCTACGTCTGTCCAGCGGCTGCAGTGCTACCCCCGCTCCCACCCAACTGTCGGCGACCACCTCACCCCCCTCCCCTTGCGAGTCTCAGCGACCGCCCCCCCCCCCTCCCCTTTTCCCCTTGCGAATCATTCCTCCCCCTCCCGCCTGCTGACACGCACTGGCGTAACGTGAGCTTTTAATAGGTTTCTTAAGGCGAGCCCAAGTTGCCACGCCATTGTGTATCAAAGTTGAAAGATTCCCATTGTACCGGCTGCCCCATTTGAACCCCATGGTTGGGAAGGGACGAAGCTGGAACGTGAGAGCACGGATTGGAACTGCTTTGCATGCTTTTAGCAAACGAAAGAGCATCAACTTCACATTCCGCTTGAAACATTGAGATTCCAAACGCTATGAATATGGTATGGTGCAATGCGCTGAGATATTGCACCCTACGTGCAATACTACAGCCATATTGCACCTTACGTGCATTGCTTCCTGAAAATGCCCCATGCTTATTATGCATGGGAGGAGAAGGCATTACACTTCATGTGCAATGGTATTGCTCTGCACCAATTGATGCTATGTTCATTAGTTTAAATTCTCAGTGAAACAAGAGGCAAGGAATTGAGATTATCACATTGACAACTAATAATCTATAAGAAACACTCATAAATAAAACCCAAAGTTATCAAAATGTTCCACAATTTACGGCAAATTTTTATAGCGGTATGGGATCAGAATAACACATCTATAGCAAGATTGTGGGACATGCTCAAGTCCAAACTTCTTCAAGTAGAGAAGCAGAAGCTACATCAAGAACTAGTCGTCAAGACTGTTGAATCTGAGAGCACTGCAGATCATGGAAGGCTTAATATTATTTTAGCATGAAGTGCTCCAGAAGACTTCAGAAGCTGAGGTGTGTGTGTTTGTATGTTACATGTAAATGGGAGATATCATTGTTTCACAATTTTATTTTTTACATTTTTGTCGAGGACTTTTGATCCCTGAAGAGAAAAGCTGGTGACGAAAATTTGTAGCAAAAGGAGTTAGATGCAAAGAAGACCAAGGTTAGCGAAGCTTTGTCCTCAATACTGTTTCTGATTTTAATAAACAATGAAAAAAAAGCTCCTTACTTGTGTATTGAGTGTTTCTCAGGAGTATGAGCACCCGTAGGAAGAACTAGCCAAATCAAAGAAGAGAGGTAGGCTGAGTCTTAAGAATTTAGAGACAATGGCTGTATCAAGTTAAGGATTTTAACACATTCTGACTGCCTGACTATGACTCAAGGCCCTCACGATACCCGCCGCCGTGGGGGGCACAGCTTCTCACATTCATTGTACAAAATTTGACCACAATCCACATTCACGTGGCAAAAACGCCTGTAAGTAGGCAACCTGTGTGGCAAATCTTGCACATTCTTGCACATTCACACAATTATTGTACACAAAATTTTACAGTGGGTCACCCCTCGCCCGCCGCGCTGATCAAGGGGGTGCTGATAAGTTTGCTGTTGAGCCTGTGTCGTCTACTCGTCTGTGTCGCTCAACTGGTTGTTCGGTTAAATTACTAGTGTCGTTTGGACACAGATGCATGATTAGGTGTATTCCTGGATCAATTGCGCGCATGCGCTCTGGAACTCTGTTGTTTACGTAAAAAAATTTTTGTTGCGACAGCAAAAATGATTGTTGTCAGAACAAACATTTCGTTCCGACAACGAACAATATCGTCAGGAGTACTAAAATGAAAAAAGTCACATGTTTGTACTTCTGACGCATGATTTGTCGCCAGAGCAAAGTGTTCGTTCTCACAACAATTGTTAGTACGCCGAACAACTCTTTTTTTTGCTATCCCGAAATCAACCCACATTTCCGTTGCCACGACAAAAAAATTTTTTTCGTGAAGGACGCTCTGATCTGTCTGCGTCACTCCCTTGGTCACTCCCTGCCATTCCTTCGCCCCTTCACACTAAATGTCATGGGACTTTTTTTGTTCCACGGTTTATGCAATTTTAAGCACATCCGACGCTGATACAATTTTGTTCCCGTCTAGTGACACATTTTGTCCGGCGCCAGCTGCAACTTGTACCAGGTGTTTCAGAAACCCCGTAGAAGTTTGAACGTATGCAACCCGCTCGCCGTCGTGCGGGCGGGCTTGCCTACGCGCTGGTCGGCGGGCGCCGGAGCGATCATGGGTTGCCACTCGTCCACTAGTGCAGCTGGGTGACGTTCCCCTTCCCCTCGCCGCTCCGGTTGTGCTCGGCTGGCCCGGTCAACTGTCACGGGTGGTGCTAGCGTCGTCTATCGGCCGCCAATCAAACCATCAAGAAAGTTGTCGCTAAATTCTCAAACATTCGCCGATCGGTGGTTCGCCGGCTAGCGACATCATCCGAGATGGTTTGATTGGCGGCCAATAGAGGACGTTAGCGCCACCTGTGACAGTTGACCGGGCCAGCCGAGTGCAACCGGTGCGGCGAGGGGAAGGGGAACGTCACCCAGCTGCACTAGTGGACGAGTGGCAACCCATGATCGCTCCGGCGCCCGCCGACCAGCGCGTAGGCAAGCCCGCCCGCACGAAGGCGAGCGGGTTGCATATCTTCAAACTTCTACGGGGTTTCTGAAACACCTGGTACTTTCACTAGGCAATTTGTCTCGCCTGGCGGACACAAAATTGCATCACCCCCGGATGTGCTTAAAATTGCATAAACCGTGGGACAAAAAAAGTCCCATGACATTTAGTGTGTTCGCAATAGTTTTTAAGGGTTTCGGAGTGAGGACCCTCACTCTCAGTGGAGTGTCACGAACTTAGCCAGCCCTCGCGTTACAGGTCAACAACGCCGCCTTCGCTGATCGAGGCACCTCCCAGACGCTGGAGGTGGAGGTCTTCGACCGGCAGCTCAACATCAACGTGCGCTCCGTGTTCCAACTCTGCAAGTTCGCCATCCCCCACCTGGAGAAGACCAAGGGCAGCATCGTCAACATTTCCAGCGTGGCCGGCATCCGCGCTGTTAGTCTGCCCGCCGGCCTGTCAAGTCAAAAGCGGCCGACCCGCTAGCCGCTGGCTCGGGGCTAAGCGCGACGGTCCGCTCCAAACCCCGTGAAATGGCCCCAAAATCGCCAAAGGTGATCAACCCGAACATAATCAGAAAGGGGAAAGTCTAAGGAGTGAAAAGAGATACATATTTTTTTTGCAGATGATACCTTTACTTAAGGCGGAAGATCACGCCGCGCACGAAACTAAAATCCGCCAGGCTGCGCCACCGTCTGCAGCCGAAGGACGGGCTGGCTGCTCTGCCGGGCGGCACGTGCTGCCTGCGTAGCGCTCTGGCCGATACAGTTCACCTGCTGTGAGTATTCCCCAAACAATGGCAAAGTCATTGCAGTTTACTTTCCTGTCCGCTCGCCCGGGGCGGGGTGGGGTGGGCGGGGAGCCTCAGGTAGTCCGGCTAGCCCAGCGCGGTGCACGCGGCCGGCTACGGCCGGCCTGCCGGCGTCTACCTGGCCGCCGGGGTGCGTCAGCCCCGCCGCATATGTCGCCGCATTGTCTTTGTCGCACTGGCAGCAGCAAGTGGGAAAGACAGAGACGGACAATGACACCGCCGGGACTAGCTTCCCGTACGCCACCCAGGGAAACCCGGCAGCCCAGCGGAGAGCCTGGCGATATGTCCGTCGGCCTCCAGCGGGCTCCAGTCAGGTGGCAGGAAATTTTACAAGTTTTGAGATTTGGGTCAAAAATTGTGTATTTTTGTATACTATCCCAAAGCGCGTTTCAAGACACGCTGATCATTTCTATACCCATTTCTCCAAGATGGATTTATGTGAAGGAGATGATGCTTTATTTGTTTTCGGCGCTATATGAGTTGCGCGGACATAAACAGTTCACAGTCCGCTTCAGAGTTTTCACTGAAATTCGACAGGGGCGTTACAAGGCGATTGGCGGAGGGGGTGGTATATTTTATTTCAGGTTCAGACGTCTTGTCTCTTTTTGGTGAGAGGTCAAAGTGTTGCATGGAGCCCTGCGCTGTACTTCGTAAATGTGCTAATTTGTTAAATTGAATGTGTAAAGGTATCATCTGCTAAAAAAATACATGGATGTAGCGCACTCTTAAAACCTTACGAAGTATTTTGAGCATACATATAACAAACTAAAATACTTTGTTATACGAAGAAATAGTTCGTAAATTACGAAGTATTTTCTTTGTAAGCTTACGTATGCTCAAAATACTTTGTTATACAAACTACTTTTCTTTGTAAGGCCCAAAATAGTTTGTAAGGTTTTCTCAGTGCGCTTTACATTCAAATCCTTGCGTGACACTGAAATAAATATTAAGAAATGAGAGTTAAAAAATGGTACAATTCTTGTGGACCGGGCTTCGGGGGACACTCTGACCGCCCACCAAGTGGTGACTAGACATTTGACCGAATAGTGAAATACAATCCCCCCTCCGCCATTAGCCATTAAACGCCCCTACCGAATTTCCCTCGAAAAATTCAGATTCAATTTTGAACTGTATGTCCGCGCAAGTGGTAAGAACCAGCGTGGTACTCAAGTAGAGCAGTTCCCTGCATCCACTCATCTGGGAGAATTAAATATGATGTCCTGTCTTGAAACGCGCTTTAAAATGCGCCAAATGTGTTTAAACTCAAATCTCAAAATTAGGAAAATTTTAGGCCAATGATGCAGCATGGTGCCGGGCGAAGCTGGCGAGTGTCGGCGACCGGTGGTGCTGCCGCGGCCGCGAATTAAATTAAAACGATGGGTCCTATGAACAAAGACCGATGGCCTTTGGGTCGCTCGAACAAAGTTCGATCTCCTTTGGGTCGCTCAAACAAAGACCGATCTCCATTTCCTAACCTTTCAACGCGTTCATTTTGAAGTCCCAGAACAATCTCTACGTTTTGATTCCACACAAATGAGTTTTAGATAATCATTCCCTAATATGTTTGGAACAAAACCTGCAAACTATTGTTTGAGTTGGATGTCTGTTGCGAGAACCACAAGATAAAGAAGCGGCGAATGCAGAAACGGCCGAAATGGAGATCGGTCTTTGTTCGAGCGACCCAAAGGAGATCGGTCTTTGTTCGAGCGACCCAAAAGACATCGGTCTTTGTTCATAGGACCCATCGAAAAATTCTCATGACGCATCTCGTGTTGCTGATATGCGGTCTGCTGGCGCAAGTGCGACCAGGGAATTCCATCTGAGAGCTCGCAGCGACTCGCATCGGCTTCGCCGGACTTCCCTGGCCACCATGGAGTCTAAGGCTGCGCGCCACGGGCCGACAGACCTTCACCATGTGGGCCCCTAAAGAGTCAGCAAAAATTAGATCACACCATCCTCTCTGCTCACTGTTCCTCTACGGCCCTGTCAAATTTCAGCCTAAAATTCCAAGCAGTGCCTGAATGGTCGATGTCCGCGCGAAACTGCGCGTCACATTTCTTCCCTGCGGCGGCTGGTACTGCTGCACGCACGATTCGAATCGGCGCGCGAGCGCACCAAAGCTCCGAGCGGCCGCGTCCGGGAGGGCAGCATTCCGTCCTCCTTGCACTCCCTCGTTCCGCGCAAGGAGCGAGCGACGTGCTGGCCTGCCAGGCAGCCAGCCTGGACGCGGCCGCCGGCCGATCGGTCTGTCTGCCTGCAGCGCGCTGCAGCGGCACCCTGGCCGTGCCGAGCGCAGCCAAGCCGTCGCCTGCCCCCCGGCCCCCGCCACCTAAGGTCATATGGAAGATAGGTCTGCGCAACCGAGATGCATGCTGGGAGACCGGGCAAGCCGGCAGGCAGGCTGGCAGGCAGGTAGGCGGTCCTCCGCTGCGGCCGGCGACGGATTCGGGAGGGATTAGCTGCCCGGTCTCCCAGCATGCATCTCGGTTGCGCAGACCTATCTTCCATATGACCTTACCGCCACCACCCCCCGTGCTGTGCGGGCGGGTATCAAAGATATCCAGGAAAGTCGGGGGCTCCGGAGTGCTAGTGTTTGCGCGGACATAGACCATTTTCGCCCCGCTCGGAATTTTGCGATGAAACTTGGTGGCTGCATGGAGCATTAGTTTACGCAGGGAATGACGTATTTTATTTTCTCCTGAGGCTTCAGGGCGCTTTGCAGCGTAAGATCAAAACACAGAGCGATTTTCAAGGTTTTTCAAGGGCTCTGCAGGGCGAAATAGGCCCTTCCGCGAAATATAAAATATGTCATTCCCTAGAGGAGGTCAAGACGAACCGAGGGATACCTAAAAAATGACACAAATGTGCATATTCTAGGAGTGGTCTATGTCCGCGTAAGTGAATTTTCACAACTTTAACAAGCTTTTCCGGAAAAACTAAAAACTCTTTCGAGAAACCGATATCAGGGCTTTCATGTACTCAGCGAGACCTTTCAAATGGTGTATTCACCTAAAAAATTTTTGGTCGTGATCTTCCGCCTTAATAACAGGAAAAGTAGCGATAGACCATGATGCACCTGCAGCAGCGCCCCCGGGGCTCGGATCGGATTTGCTGCCACCGGGCAGTTCTTAGGGTCACCGAAGGAGGCTGCATACCAAATTTGGTCAAGATCGGACCAAGGGAAGTCCTCGGACGGACGGACGCACAGCATGCATCATACTATATGCCCGTCCCTCCGTCTTTTTTTTACAAAAATATACGGGACGGGCCATACAAAAATATACGGGACGGGCCAAAAACATACCTAAAACTACAACTACTAGACACAAGGAGAAACAGTAGGACAGACTGCAAAGCGATAAAGTTTCCATCACTTCAAAATAAGTCATTGTTCCGTATCACCACATTGAAACACAGATCATCCATGAAAATACTTGTAGGCTCAAAATCTTTCTCAAGTCCTGTTACTTTCACTTTATTGGTATGGGATATCTTGCGTTCCAACTTGATTTCCCTGTTTCCGTACCTATCAGGCGCGGATCCGGGGGGAGGGGGGCGATGGGGGCGCCCCCCCCCCCCCTTTTGAAGGCGGCCAAGCCGCCTGAAAGGTAGGCAACAAGTCACACATTACCCCTGTGGGTAGGCAACTCCCCCCCCCCCCACCACCACCACCACCAGTCTCTGGATCCGCCCTTGCCTAATATCAAGTAAGCAACTGGATGCTGCAGCTTGCACTGAAGTGAACTGAAATGAAAAGTAAACAGTATGTCCATGTCCAAGGCACAAACATAACATGTAAAAGATACAGAATGAAGACACTTTTCAAATTCTATTTGAAAATTTTGGTTTGCACAACAAAGTTGTGGTGAGCTTAACTTCTGCTGATGTTGAGTCGATTGCACGACATGTGATGGCTGGTTTATCATCAAACAGATCTTTCATAGCTAAATTTATAAAGTATAAGAGAACAGACTCCAATGCAAAATAAAGTTTAAAGATTCATTAATATGAGTTAAAAACCACAGACACCACAGAACAAAAACCTTACATTCTGGAAGCCCTCGTTACGTCCAAAAACAGTAACTTTGTTGGAAAATAACGTCGAGTCTGGTGACTTGACAGGTGACAGGGTTGCACTCCAATGTGACTCTGAAGCAGTCTGATCTTTCTTGATCTCTGCTTCTGATTGGCCACCAACTGTCCAGAGAAAAATAACATTGGGCGTTAAATGACACTAAAGGTACACTAGAGTAGAATTAAACTAAGAATGATTCACTGTTGTGGGTGCCTACCGTTGGCAATAGGCTCAGAAATAGATGCAGTCCTCTCGCCACACCTCGTACTGGGTGACTTGGCACCAACCACACTGAAAAAAAAGTCTAGTAACGATAACCAGAATCCTGGTACCAAATACCAGACTGTCTGATAGAATATAACTCAACTAGAATTCTGGTAAAAAATACTAAACTGTCTAGTTGGCCTCAGTCTAGTAAACCGTACCAGATTCATAGTTATCCTCACAATGCCGCCAGGTCCCCTTCTGGTAGTTTTTACCAAACATCCTGGTTAGTTAATGTGCTTACAAAACTGAAGTAAGAAGTCCAAAATTTAATAAAAAAATTTTTCGTAGTGATGAAACCTGATGTGACGTCGATTTCGTTAACGAACAACCTCTGAATTGTTTTTTTCCCTCCTCCTCTCCTCCGGATTCGAACCGGGATCTCACACTTGTGAGACGGGCACGTTACCACTGCGCCACCACGTCGCCTGTGGGTCGAGGGGATCCCCACCAGGTGACTCCCTACGTGTCTGGCTCAGGGAAATACTCCCAGTGTTTCTTTCGGATTTAAGACTCCGAAAATAACGAAACCGGTTGCAGTTTACTTTTTGACACCCGAACATTTCAATTGAAACGAATATTTCGAAGTTTTACGTATGGTGCCAATTACGGAACAGTCTGGTAAAATTTACCAGGATTATTAACCAGACACCTGGTAAATGTCACAACACCCGATCTGGTTACTGCAACTGATCATCTGGTGAGAGTTACTAGGATTCTCGTATGAGTAACTAGTACTCGTTTAACTAGGATTGGTCTGGTACTTTTAACCAGACTTTTTTCTCAGTGCAAGGTCTGATCCATGTAAATATCTTCTGTTACACCACCTAATTAAAACATAGGGATACACATTGAGCTAAGAGAAGCAAGTGTTTGTGGCTCGTTAAACCTAAGAAGCGATAACATGAAATATTTACCATTGCTCACATTTGGGACCACGAATGATGTGTTGAGATGCTCATCAGTTGCATCATTCTTTTCCTCTTGCTGCATTCTTTTTGGGCTGCTGTTGCTTCCTTTGCCGCGCACTCCAGCATCATCACAAGCTGGTGTTGTGTCATCTGGAGTAAACACAAAGAATTCATTACTGATGGAAAAGCGATCATTTGTGGTACCTTAATTGGAGACCATTCAATGACGTAGTTACCATTTCCGCCAACTGGCTGTTCAACAGAACTGTTTACCTGTTCTTCAAGATTGTCATAGAGCAGCTGCCTCTTTCTTTGAGTACTCCTGCCACTCTTGCCTGATGCCTCGCCCGATGCTTCCTTCAAGACCCTCCTCACGCACCTTTTTGGACACAGGGCTTTGAAGCAGATCAATGCAAGGTTACAAAGAATTACTTACATTTATCGTAGATGTCCGCCTCCCTCCGCGTGACCCGCGCGTAGTATAGATTGCACTTAATATCGCACAACGAATAATCAACCAGCTTATCTTCCATGATGGATCGCACAAACCCACAAACCTACTGGACACGACTCCTCATGCAATGCAATGGTTATGGTGCCAACAACCGCCGGCTCAACGCACTGCCTCACGCATGCGCACAACGTTTCGAGAGTCGACCGTAGACAAGACGTGTTAGGTCTAGTTTTGTCTTTGTCTTCCAAAACAAGAAATTTTTGTGGAATTCCCAAGTAGGCATTCTACGGAATAAAGCCTTTCAAAATATAAGATCACTTCATGTGCTTGTCCACCCCACGGTTTAAGGGGGGACCCTGGTGAAACTTTCAAGTAGGCTTCAAAATAATCCCAGGAAGTTGAAACTTTGCTTAATTATTAGGTTCATTATGGTGAGTTCCCAAAACAAAATTCAATCCAATATGTTGAGCGGTCTCTGAGAAAAGTGGCTTTTTAGTGTTTTTTGGAGCGTTGGGGAAAAATCTTTAGAGACCACTAAATTATGCATATAGAATCATCATTTTATGCGCCACATTTTGACCCATTTATGCGGACTTTATGCGCCTAAAAATGTAGTTTTATGCGGGGTTTATGCGGGTAAAATTGTGGTTTTATGCAAAAATATGCGAAGGAGGAAAATAGGAGCGGAATGACAAATAGTAGAATTAGCTCATAAAAAAGTATTTAATGTTATTATCACATTAAAATTATTCAAGTTAACACACTTTAAAATTCAGTCAAGTAATGAAATGACTAGTTTCATTCAGATCAGATACAGAGATACAATAGAATGAATTTATCATTATCATTCATTTTTTAATCATTATTCCATGCCATGTCCTCAGCATCATTATAATACACAGAGTGGGTGCCTGCACCACCGCCACCAGCCACACCTGCACCGTCCACTATATTTTGTGCATTTTGATCATAATCATCGCCATCATCAACTTGCTCAGAACACTTATCATTATTATTCAAGTCAACTCCATTACAGAAATAAATGCACATCATAGCTTCTGCCTTCTCATTAGCCAAATTTGTTCTTTTGGGAGAAAATATGTCACCATATGCACTGAAACCCCTTTCACTGTCAACATTTGCCACACTCACATGTAGTACTTGCAAACAAGAAATAGCAAAGTCACTGTGGTCTTTCATCATAGAATTCAAAGCATTTACAACAAGGTCCTCCCTATGAGGCACTTTTTTCATAGGATCAGCATTAGCATTATTTTCCTTTACATGGTCAGAAAGTAATGAATGCCAAATTACAAAACAGTTTGTTGGAATGGAATCCAAAATTTTAATTTTCTCTTTTGCCTGTGAAATCTTTTCATGAGAAAGAGAAGCAGCTAACTTAATGGGATTAAAGAGCAGCCTAGATGACTCAAAAAATTCTCTAGCAGTGTCATCTTTCATCTGAGATTGCAACAGGTCATCACAAGAGACACACACCTGCTTAATTCTTTCAAGCAATGTTTTTTGTTTAGAGGAAGGAACTAAATCAACACATGCTTTTGTCTTCTCAAGTAAAACAGACTTGATGTCTTTAGAACTATCCCCGGCTTTTGCCACACTTGACATAGTCACACTCAGCTCTTTTACCTTAGCATACAATAAGTGAGACATTGGATATTTAGAACCCTCTACTAGCAGCTGCAAATCACAAACAGGGCCACAATAATCTACAACAAATTTTGCCTCTGCCTTATAGTCTAGGCGGTACACGTCCCAACCCAGAAAAAAACCGCAAAAAGGTATAGAAGTGTGAAACTTGGTACACTTGTTCCTAAGACCATTTTAAAGGTTTTGACCCGTTGCTCTTTTCGATTTTTGCATTTGGGTTCAACTTTTGAACATTTTTAACAAAATGGCGGCCAATATTCAAAATTTTTGATAATGGTCCTATTTTTATCATCCTGGGGTCGTTCCCGAATATTTTGAGGATGCTGAGGCGAATGCCGAGGTTTTCGAAACCCCCCGACCAACGGGTATTCCCCAAATCAGCCATTTTTTTTCAAAATGGTGGCTATTTTCGCTTTCTAGCGTATTTACACTAATGCACCCGTGTTTGGTGTCGTTTCCGACCAATTTTGGGTCGCTGAATACATTTTCGCACTCAAAATTTCTGTTAGGTGGTTTTGAACGGATGACCAGATACCAGGTTATGGTCAGTTTCGGTCAAAAATTGAATAGGTGCGTCATGGGTGTCGTTTCCGGCTAAAATGAGGTAGCTGAACACGTTTCTGAACCCTCGCGACCGTTTTGACATCATGTTAAGGGTAAAGGGTTGAACAAGGACAAGAAATATACAGCATTTCGGTTCAAAAGTTGAATATGTGAGTGATGGTTGTTATAGTAGGGTAATTTGAGGTCGTTGAACATGAATTCACGTTCTCCGTTCGAAAACCGTATACTGCGGAAGGGTTGGAAGTAGCTTACTCTGCTGACAGTTGTTTTAAAATGTTTAGTCACTGGTAGCTAACGAATGTACCGTCACGTTCGTTTTCACAAGAAAACGGCGATGTTTGTTGAGCGCGACAGACGGTGAATTTACCATTTCTTCGGGTGTGACACGCTATCAGCAGGTGAACTGTCAAATCAATAAACGAATGTGACACACCCGATTTGTCACGTCACACTTTTAAAAAGAGCCGTACATTTCAAGGAAAAAGGTAAGGCTAGACCGTAGTACCTCACGGTGTACAGAACAACTGTACCCAAAAACCGTGCTTCCCATAAGAGCCCATGTTATGAAAAACCGTAAGTACTCCGTACCCAAAAAGCCTGAGGGTGAGGCTGAGGTTCGGTAGCAGGCAAATTGTCTGCCAGACTGTGCCTGTCCCTTTTCCCGGGGATTTTTTCTGCCGTGTAAACTGAACGTGACACCCCATAACCTGACAACAATGGCGAGTCACATTCAAACGAACGTGGCAGTACTTACACTGAAAATCTACCGGCGTGACTTCGTGCCGCTGCAGGGGCGTGAATAAAGTGTGACTCAAAAATTCACGCCAATTTTTGGCGTGAATTTCTTGTCATGCCGCTTTTTGGCATGACTTGTATCATAAAACTCGTTGCCATTCACGCCAAATGAGGGCGTGACTCACATGTCACGCCGGTTTTCGGCGTGAATTTCGTGTCACGCCATAATTTTGACCATGTGTCCGACCATTACGTTTTCAGTGTAGGTGGTCATATTCCTTTGGATGTGCCACAACATGTTTCAATGGGTACCATATGTCAAATTCGTTTGAATGTGACAGTTCGCTTCCTGATTGTGTGTCACACCCGAAGTAACGTGACAAAGCGGTGTGGTGTGTCACATTCGTTTGACTGTAAATCTTCACCGTTTGTCACGCTCAATTAAACATCGCCGTTCTCACGTGAAAGGTAACGTGGACGTCACATTCGTTGGCTACTCTACAAACTCAAACTCAAGCACACTGTTGCTCTGCCTTACATGCAAATGGTAGGGGACTTCAGCAACAGTGTACCAGGATGACTCCAGGTAGAGTGTACATGCCAGGTTCACTCCAGGTGGAGTGCCCATGCCGGGTTGGCTCCAGCGGTGCAGTGTACTATGTCGTCACTTTGAGTTTGGAGAGTGCCAGTGAACGAAATCTAAAAAAGAAACATTAATGTGAACAACAAATGTACCGATAAAACTAAAGGCATCAGTATCATAACGTTCCTCTTCTGGTTGTCCAATGTGCTGCTCAGAGTCGGAATGTAAGAACAAGGAAAGTAACAGTGACTTCTTACTAATATAAACTTCATGGCAACTCTTAACAAGTTTTTTTTACTATTTGTTTGAGTACTATTAGTTTCCATTTGGTTACAGGCTCTGCAGCAAGAAAACGCGTATCTTGTACAGAGACATCTCTGAGTAAGACGCGCAACCACAGCGAGTAAGCTCTCGGCAACACCTCCAAATGACTGAGGGTGGTGTCCGGAATGGTTCAACTGTTCCATTGCACGGATGCAAAGAATAATACTGAGTTGCACCCAGTAACAATGTGATAACCTCGGACAGCCACTGCTATTGTAGCACCTATGAAAGAAACAATTTCCTACATGCAGCGCCGTTCAGTAACCGTAACCAATAAGCATTTACCGTTAGCATCCCCCAGGTTACCACTCAACTCAGAATCATTCTTTGCATCCGCACTCTCATTCCAGGAACGTGACATCACGTTCAAACGAACGTGACAAAGTGTCACGTTCGTTTGAGCATTGTGTCACGTTCGTTTGAATGTGAACTAGCTGATTTTTGGCCAATTCACACCCAAACGAATGTGACACAATGCTCAAACGAACGTGACATTTTATCACGTTCGTTTCAACGTGATGTCACGTTCCTGGAATGAGAGCGCGTCGGGAAACCTAGATCATGTATGAGACCTGGGAAAGGGAGAGCAGTACTGAATGTCATTCTTGCTTTGAGCAGAGCAAGCCACTTAAACAGAAGTGGTAGACACACTGCAGAGATATGTACTCTACAAATCCAAAAGCGTACATTGTATGCTCTAACTGGAGCATGCCTGCAAGCACGCTCTAGCTGGCGCATGCCTGCCAAGCATGCACTTACTGGTGCATGTACACGCTAAATGAATCATACATCTAGTGCATATGGGGTAGAGAGTTGTCTGCATCAGGAAGCGTGTACATGGCATGTATGCACTGGTAAGTGCATGCATAGCAGGCATGCGGAAGCGACAGCGTGCTTGCAGGCATGCTCCAGGTACAGCGTGCAATGTACGCTTTTGGATTTGTAGAGTAATTAATTTGTACAAAGGAGATCCTTTGTTTCTTCCTTCATTCAGTTTGTATTGGAACTGACAATAATTCCATCACATGGACGACACAACCATTAATAAACATTTAAGACCAACTTTTCGACTGCAGAGATTTAGGCATTTTCATCCCTTCCGAAATATGCGGTTTTTGAACCGAGAACGTAAATTCATCCTAGCGACAACATTTATTTGAGACGCAGACATGTTCAACGACCTCAAATTACCCTACTAAAACAACCATCACTCACACATTCAGCTTTTGAACCGAAATGCGGTATATTTCTTGTCCTTGTTCAACGCTTTACCCTCAACATGATGTCAAAACGGTCGCGAGGGTTCAGAAACGTGTTCAGCGACCTCATTTTAGCCGGAAACGACACCCATGACGCACCTATTCAATTTTTGACCGAAACTGACCATAACCTGGTATCTGATCATCCGTTCAAAACCACCTAACATAAATTTTGAGTGCGAAAATGTATTCAGCGACCCAAAATTGGTCGGAAACGACACCAAACACGGGTGTATTAGTGTAAATAGGCTAGAAAGTGAAAATAGCCGCCATTTTGAAAAAAATGGCTGATTTGGGGAATACCCGTTGGTTGGAGGGTTTGAAAAACCTCGGCATTCGCCTCAGCATCCTCAAAATATTCGGAAACGACCCCAGGATGGTGAAAAAAGGACCATTATCAAAAAATTTGAATATTGGCCGCCATTTTGTTCAAAATGTTCAAAAATTGAACCCAAATGCAAAAATTGAAAAGAGCAACGGGTCAAAACCTTTAAAATGGTCTTGGGAACAAGTGTACAAAGTTTCACACTTCTATACCTTTTTGCGGTTTTTTTTCGCGTACCGCCAGGACTATTAATTATTAACAGGTCCTCAGGTTTCAATTTCAAAAAATATTTTACAGCTTTTGTTTCATTCTTCTTCCCAGTCAACTGCTTTTTCACATATTCAGCTACATCATCAACATATTCAGACAAATACACAACAGATTTTTTCCATGTTCCCCATCTGGTCATGACAGGTAATGGAAATTGTTTCACTTCTTTAGCTCTAGAAAAAGAATACTTTTCTTTTAAAAAAGTAACATATCTGTGTTTCCTTTTTCGGGTGTTTTTGAAAAGTTTCTTAGTATTGGACACACATTCATTAAGTCTATACAGTTTCTCAGGGAAAATTTTCACAACCTTATCCAACTTGTGGGCCCAACACTGCAGGTGTATCAAACCAGGATTATCAAGGAGTGTCCTGAGAAGACGAATACACAAGTTCATGTAGGCAGCACTGTCCGAACCGATGGCCACTATGTTCAGATGGGCAACTTCATAGTGTTGAACAGTCTGAAAAGAGAGAGAGAAAAAGTTAAAGACTTAACTCTCAATCTAAGTACACAATAAAATAAATTCTAATACTATACACAAACCTGCAGTATTGCCTTTGAACATTCGTCTGCATTGGCATTCTCAAGAATTTTCACTGAAGCCACAAACAGTTGGGATGTAGGATTCTCTTTAGAGGGTAGCACCTTGAAGAGGGTTAGGAAAACCGCCTGGCCTCTCCTATTCGTTGTTTCGTCACACAGCACAACAATTTTCTTTCCCTTCACTTTATCTTTGAGATAATCGTCGTATTCTTCTTTCAAAAGGGGAACATATTTGTCTCGAAGCTGCTGAGCACTCGGCAAATCACCGGAACCTGAAAAGAGAGGGTAAAAAATAAATATACAGGGTTGTTTACTTGCAGTAGTTTGGAGGTTAGGTCCAGTTCAACCGGTACCAATACACATAACGACGAGTGTAAGCTCCTCGTTTTAGAAATATTTTACTCACCAGGAACGTATTTCTTGAACCACTTCCTCATTTCAGGCTTGTCAAGCTTTTCTAGTGGTATGTTAGCGTTAACAAACGCTCGCACTGTCGACTTAATGAACTCTTCTCTATCTTCCTTTACCTTCTTGGCATTACTCATACTTTCCGAAATAGATGCCTGCCTTTTTTTCTTCGCAGCCGCCTCAGCCTCAACTTTTTTCCTGTTGTTTTTGTGCAAATCCGCCTTGATGTGATTGTCAATGGTGCTCTTGCGCTCATGGTCAACTCTCTTGTCGCAAAATTTGCACATCAAAAATTTCTTGTCAAACACGTACATACCATCATCATGATATGCAAGCGCCCTAGCTGCCGCTGTTGCAGGGGCCATTGTAATGTTGATGCGGCCGGCAAAGCCGTGCCCCCAAAACACCACCACAATATCAACAACACTTGCGTCTGTCCGCAAACTCACTCACTACTCGAAGTCCATAACCTCGTCGAACATGCTGGAACGGGCGAGAACGCGAGACGGGTGGAGGGGGCGAGGCGGGGCGGGGCCAGAGGTGAGAAAAGTGACCCGAAACGGACCCGAACAGACCCGCTGCTGAGGAGACTCCATCCGATCCGATCCGATCCGACCCGCCTGGACCCGATCCGCACCGCAGCGGCCTGACCCGCTCATCAGCCGCCGCTCCGTAGGCGCCGCTGCGCTAGCCGGCCGGGCGGTGGAACGACACCCGCCGGAGCCACGCCGTTTTGGCGGCTTTCTGATTGCCCAACTGCCGTAAACGCGGTAGTAATGTCATCCTGAGACCATTATCTGTCTTTGCGTACACTTAGTTTGCATTTTGGTGCCGAAAAAGATATTACCGCCGGCTGGTGTTGAACCTCTGTCTCTTCGGGCGCGTTGAAGTCAGCCCGCTAGGCCGGCCGGGCTCGGCGACGCAGTGGCGGCTGCGTGCGGAAAGTATTCGCACGAGGAGACAGCCCGACTGGCGGATGGAGGCGGGTCAGAGCGGGTCTCTTTTCTCACCTCTGGGCGGGGCGGTGGACTGCGCGACGTGACGAGTAGAGAAGGCGCAGGAATCAAAGGGCGCGTATTTTTAAATCGGTGGCGCGTCAAAAGCTGTAAATCGGCGTATTTTACGGGATTTTGGAGGCCTTATTGGTAGTTTATGCGGGAAAACGTGACTTTATGCGCATAATATGCAAGTATGCGTTATGTTGCGTTTGTGCTTAAATTATGCGTCATTATGCGGTCTTGTTTCCGGTGTAGACCTACCTAAAACATGTTAAACTGTCTTTCTTTTGTCTTTTTCTCATACTTTAACAAAATATGCGATTATGCACGCGCATAATTTAGTGGTCTCTAAAATCTTTCTGCGTCTTTCATTGGGACGGAAAATCTTGAAATTTTTTTGGGTTAGCCTAAAGATGTATAGAAGAGATTGTAGTGACGGAATTTTCAAATTCAACTTCTGTCCTGAGATATGAGTTTTCAAATTTTAACATTTAAAAAAAAGTGATTTTTCCCCCTTTTTTCTAACTTTTAAGTGTGTTTTAAAAGAAGTATGGCTGATATCAAGATTCCGTCACTAAAATTTGTTCACAAGTCATCAATGAATAGAGTCCATGCAAGACGACTCATGTAGGTGTCAACCAGGAACGCAGGAAGTCTTTCTACGACGAAATTTTTTGTCGACTGAGCAAAGCTGTAAAGTTGAGCGTAGAAGCCAACGACAACTGATCTCAATGTTATTTCCATCCAAATGATAAAGAAACTACCCACTTAGCTTAAAGGTGTTCAACCTGTTGAATCTGGAACCTTCTATGCACATTTTTATCTATGAACTTTGAAAATACTACTTATTGGAATTTTGGCGATTTTTTTACCAGGGTCTAAGTCTAAGAAATAAAACATTAGGAATCAGTCTTCCGTGCTCTCATGCCGATCCCGACATTCAGGTTTTAAATGCGATCCTTTCAATTAAACTGCTTCTGAGAAAAAAAATGTATCTCTTTTCACTTCTTAGACTTTCCCCTTTCTGCTTATGTGCGGGTTGATCACCTGTGGCAATTTTGGGGCCATTTCACGGGGTTTGGTGGAGCGGATACCGTCGCGCCGAGCCAGCGGCTGGCGGGCTCGCGGGCGGGTCGGCCGCCCTTGATTTGACAGACCCCGCAGTGCAGTGCGTTCGCAGCACACTCTCACTCTTAATATTCAATATTCATTCACGTTTTATCTCAGTAATAAAATTTTGTTGAGAAGGATTTGTCAGGAGAAAAGTCGATACGTTATTGTAGTTGTAGTGTACAGTGATGCATAATATTATGCAAACCTTACGTACGTCTCTGAGCATGCCTATTTATGCTTACACTGTGAGAAAAAAGTAGGGAACATGTCCGGTCAATAATTTGCCTGGACCGTCCGTACTTGCCAACTACGGAACGTTCCGTACTTTTTTCCGTACCCATTAACATGGGTTCATACGGACCTCCGTACTATATTTTTCTGTACCATTTCCGTCCCAAAGTCGAGGGGTGAATCACCAGTGTACTCATGTGTACAAATTTGTCCGTACTCAGTGTACTCACAAGTTTAAAACGGGCGAAATTCTCTAGTTTTTCGACCGATTTGACGTTGAGTGTCGTTAAAAATGCTAATTAAAGCCTGAAAATGTTATAAATTGTGAAACTTATGAGAAAACCTAGGTGTACTCACCCGTACTCATGTGTACACCAGAACGCTGAGTGATTCACCCCTCGCCCAAAGTACGGAATTTTTTACAGTGTAAAATAAGTCCACATGAGTTTAGTGTGTTGTCTGTGTGGTAAGACGAGAGTAAGCGGATCCTCAAAAGGGTCACCCTTGCACTCGGCCGTGTACACGATCGCTTACATTGTCGCAGGTCGTCAACTCACTGGCGTACTCCACCAGCAAGGCCGCCGTGGACCACCTGACCCGCAACCTGGCACTGGAGTGCGGCGCCAGCGGGGTGCGAGTCAACTGCCTCAGCCCCGGCCTCATCGTCACCGAGTTCCAGAAGCGCTCCGGCATGCCCGAGGACGTCTACGCCGAGGTTGTAACATTTCCATCATGCCACACTCCCAATTTTCTACTGGGAAATGCCGTGCAGTCATAATACTGTGCTAATACTTTACGACACAAATCTGTCATAACACAGAGAAATTTGTTTTTTAAATGCATAATTATGCTTTTTTATGCATAGTTTCGCATATGCAAGCACAGATACGTTCAGAAGGTGTGAATAATATTATGTATCACTGTGTACTTTTCACGCAGTAAGATGCGTAAAATGTACACAGCGATGCATAATACCATACACATCTTTCGTACGTATCTGTGCATGCACAATAATGCATAAACAGTGCATAATTATGCATTTGAAAAGGCCACAAGAGAATAGCGTGAGCTTTAACGTTTCTTACTTCCTCTGCCCGCAAAGATGTGACCTTGCAAAGTGTAGTATGCCCTACAACGTAATCAAGGATGAAACAGTAACGTCATCAACACCGAAAATAAGTGTCCCAGGGTCAGGGTAAAGTATGGAGCATTTCGGATTCCTTGCAAGGGCAGCGGCAAGCGTCCCTCCTTGATGAAAAATGACATAAATGGACGGTCTGCTCATGCGAGTTGTTTGTCCTCAAGAAAGACGTGCGGGTAAGTTCAAGGGCGTCTGTGGGGAAAGGGGCCAGCCGGCTGATGCCTTATATTGACGTCGTTCTCTCTCTCTCTCTCTCTCTCTCTCTCTCTCTCTCCCCTTCTCTCTCTTTTTCTCTCGTCTCTCTCCCTAATTCCTTTTCTCTTTCTCCCTCTTTCCTTCTTAAGGTGCTCTATAGTGTTGCGAGAGAGAGAGAGAGAGAGAGAGAGAGACACTCAAATTTTGTCAGAATGTCAGAAACATGTCTGAAATCCTGATCTGAATTCGCGCACCTCTGAAAGCTGAAATTCTGAAAACTTACTCTGATACTGATGATTTGAGTTCTACAGAATGTCGGGAGATGTTTTCAGCTTTCAGAGGTGCGCGAAGTTTGATCAGGTTTTCAGACAGCACTCTTAAAACCTTACGAAGTATTTTGAGCATACATATAACAAACCAAAATACTTTGTTATACGAAGAAATAGTTCGTAAATTACGAAGTATTTTCTTTGTAAGCTTACGTATGCTCAAAATACTTTGTTACACAAACTACTCTTTGTAAGGCCCAAAATAGTTTGTAAGGTTTTCTCAGTGAGGTTTCTGACATTCTGACAAGATTTACACGAGTGGAGAGAGAGAGAGAGAGAGAGAGAGAGAGAGAGAGAGAGAGAGAGAGAGAGAGAGAAAGCGACGAGGCGCTGTTCGGAATCACACAGGAGATAGCGAGTCGTGCCACCTCGCTGAGACGATGCTCCGCTTTGTTTCGCAGTCAACATCAGGCCGTCCCGCACCGCGGCCGTCTCGCTCTCCCGCCTTTTCTTGAGGTTAGTACACTCTAAATGTTTTTGTACAAATTTTGTCCGAGACATCTCAGTTTTTTATGCACACGAACTTTTCGTATAAATTTACGGGGGGCTGACTCCTATAATACTTCGTACACAGCCCTAGAATACTTGTATAATACTATAATCCATAATACCAAAAAATGCCGCTTAGTGCAGTTCCGGTTTTAAAATGAGAAAATTTTGAAAAATTGTGGTGATTAAGTGTTTAGCGATTCCTAGACGAAACGTTAAAGTAAGAAAATGGCGCTAAGACTGATAACTAGGTGCTGAGACTCTTAAAGATGCGCGGCAGTATTTTGAGGCTCAGAGCGCGACACCCTGAAAAGGGTGATCTTGCCCGTAGAGATACTCTGGCCGGCAGCAAGAGTATTTCATTGGCACAATGGATATTCGCTGAACTCAAGAGTATTTGGTGCTAGTGATAAGAGTGACTCTAACGACAAGAACCCACTTTTCAGGGTGGAGCCGGAATCCGTGTTTTCAACTAACTTGCGTATTTTCGAAACCCTTGGTACACGGAAAACCACTTCCAACGACACAATTATCCAAATATAATATTCGGAATAATACCTATAATACTCTATATAATACCTATAATACATAATACTTCGTACACGGTTCGGGAGAGTGTACAAATTTGTACAAAATATAGTCGCTTAGTGGACACCTCTAATAGTGCACACCTAGCTAGTTGTGTCAAACATCAAAGCTGTCATTGTTCATAGATGTGCCTTTCTGCAAAGCGCTACTTTGGGAGGTGGTGAGTACAGTAGTCAGGTCAGGCGTTATCGGAGGCAGAGAATTCTACCAACGTTTCCACGAAAGGTCCCCAGGTCCCCTTATCGTTCTAAAAAAGAAAACCAAGTTCAAGGTCGCCGAGCTTTTTGATGCAGCAGCCTCCGCACACCCAAGCCGCCTGTACAGTCCCGTTACAACTGTGCACGTCAAAACTGGGCGTTCTTTATATTCAGACTCATATTCAGTTCTCAGTAATGCGCAGGTATTCAATGAGGCTCATATTAAAGGCAAACGAAAGCGGGGGGGGGGGGGGGGGGGGCTTTTGCTTTGCTTTGACAATCTTTTGGCGCATTATGGTGAATAGCTGTTAAGTGCAACGTGACTTAGGGTCAGGGCGGGGAAAACCTGGACAGGGGAAGAACTGGACACACTGCAAGAAAAAGTGTGGATAGTACAACAAAGTACAACACAAACTGTACAATAAAAGTACAACAGAGATTGTGGAAAGTACAACGAGAATTGTACAAACCACAACGAGCCCTGAACTGCACAGCACTCCTTATGCCGGTGTCATTGTACTTTGTACAACAGTTGTTGTACTTGAAAAGTACACTAAAGTCCTGATAAAAAATTTGCCAGAAATTTGTTTACTTTTGTTGTGGTTATTTCCTGCAGTGCACCCCACATTTTACTTCAAATGCCGTATGTACTGGCCTGACAACTGTCATGTAATGAACCGCTGATGCCACGGAACAACTTTTGATAGTTGTTATTCCTGTCCTGTGCCTACGGTATTTGAAGTAAAATATGGGGTGTCCAGTTCTTCCCCTGTCCAGTTGTTCCCCGCCCTGACCCTACAAAAACTGCAGGTGTCGTTACTCGGGAGGTCGACAAAATATTTCTCGCGCGGCTTTAATGGTTACGATACTCACTATGGCAAAAAGCTACGGAATTTTTATATTTTATTTTTTTTGGCCAAGGTTTTTTTGTAGTCCTTTATCAATATTCTCCGTAGGACCTGACAGTGTTCTCCGTAGGACTATACACTCTTCCATAAGATTGCAGCGTCCTATGGAGAAGACTGTCAGGTCCTACGGAGAATATTGATGAGAGGGCTACGGACATCACTCCCAGACTCATATTGACTTTTTATCTCTTGCCGTAAAGGTTTTCGTGCAAACGTAATATGTACTATATTCTCTTTAGCTATGCACTCTTTTGATCATTGTATAATGTATTTAACCGGATTATTTGTCATTTTCAATGTACTTTTCAATTCCTACGAGACATTCCATGCCGGTTCGGCCAGGGCCTGAAGGTGACCATTGACGATTTGCGCGCCGCTTTGGCATTTTTTTGTACTCGTCGAGATAGGGCGATTGCCAAATTTTTAGGTCCCTAAGTCCATTTTTGCGCCCAGGGTGGCAATTTTTAGATTTCTCTGAACTTTCTTTAGTGGTTTTGTTGAAATTGCGCTTCTAAGTTTCCCTTTTTTGGCTCTCCACGGCACAATTTCAACGCTAGCTCAATGATTTTGTGCTTAAAAGATGCGTATTGAATAGAGGAAGAGACTCCAGTGGTCAAATTCTACTTTTGAAGTCATCTTCGTGGTGATCCAAGCGATGTTGCAAATTAAAAACATGTAAAAATGAGGTAATTTTTGCTAACTTTGGCGAGGGATCTTTCGATGACCGACATCGAAATTTGAACTTTTTCTAGCGGATTCTTGAAGGTCTCGAGGAGATCTTTCGAGTTCCGGTGCCAGAAAGTATGGGACCGGCCCTAGTTTAGCCGCTACACCGCTCCAAAGTTTCGAAAAATCCCAAATTTGCACTAAATGGTGCAAGGAGTGGACTTTCGCTTGCATGCCCACGGCAATTGCCATGCGAGTCCCAGGCCATCTCGGCCCGACTAAAACTGACCCCTGCAATAACGTCTACTTGATCCCAAGCCCCAGGGTCACTCACCGGCTCGGGGATAAAGGGGAGGGGAGGAAAGAATACAGTGAATTTTCACAAAATTATGCCCTATGCTTATATGTCGTCCTAGCCCCGCATCAGTGGTGATTATGGACCTCAGGCCCAGTATGTTTGACAATACTTGATTCCGCCTCCCGCAACTCCCCCCTCGGGAGAAGCGGGTGCTCTACAGGCGTTCGCTCACATTTGTCCGCGGGGAGCGCCTGCGATTAAGTAGAGCAGGCAGCCCCTGCAGCACGCGTGCCGTTTGGTGGCCTACCTCACAGGCGCTTCGGCCCTGGACCACAGGCCCTAGTACACTTTCTTCGGCCCCCTCTGCTAAAAGCGTCGTCTCAAAACATAACCGCAGTAAAATGGGATTGGAAATTTCAAAGAAAAAGCAAGTTCACCGAAAATGTTGCTCATTGTATTTAGGTCCTTGCAAATTGTTTACCGTGGTTTTAATGACTTCTTCCTTAGCTTGGCTATGTTTTTGATCCTTGAAATTCCACCCTTGCCTATTGAATACTCTGATGAGGCTTCCTTTGATACTGGGACTGTTCCCAGGACGTTTGGAATGGGTGGCACATGGCCGCTTCAGTCTTCATTCCAGGTGAACTTTGTTGCTGAGATAGGTGGGTAGAGCAGCATCAGGTCAGCTTCTTGTTGCATGTCAATGTCTGTGATGAGATCCACATAGGTTTTTTCTCGCTACTATTACGGCCTCAAAATTATTAATTTCGAAAGTCAGTGGCCTACTGGTTTCGCAGATCTCATGGATGCGGAAAAAGCGTGTGTCAGAGCTTACGCTTTTGCAGCCAGCTGTCGTTTCTAAATGAAGATAAAAGATACAGAGATTGAAAAGAAAATGACTGTCTTTTTAAACATATCAGATAGGGAGGAAAAATGATTTAGAAACGACAGCTGGCTGCAAAAGCGTAAGCTCTGACACACGCTTTTTCCGCATCCATGAGATCTGCGAAACCAGTAGGCCACTGACTTTCGAAATTAATAATTTTGAGGCCGTAATAGTAGCGAGAAAAAACCTATGTGGATCTCATCACAGACATTGACATGCAACAAGAAGCTGACCTGATGCTGCTCTACCCACCTATCTCAGCAACAAAGTTCACCTGGAATGAAGACTGAAGCGGCCATGTGCCACCCATTCCAAACGTCCTGGGAACAGTCCCAGTATCAAAGGAAGCCTCATCAGAGTATTCAATAGGCAAGGGCGGAATTTCAAGGATCAAAAACATAGCCAAGCTAAGGAAGAAGTCATTAAAACCACGGTAAACAATTTGCAAGGACCTAAATACAATGAGCAACATTTTCGGTGAACTTGCTTTTTCTTTGAAATTTCCAATCCCATTTTACTGCGGTTATGTTTTGAGACGACGCTTTTAGCAGAGGGGGCCGAAGAAAGTGTACTAGGGCCTGTGGTCCAGGGCCGAAGCGCCTGTGAGGTAGGCCACCAAACGGCACGCGTGCTGCAGGGGCTGCCTGCTCTGAGCAGGTTTATTTAAGAAAAGCAGGACCTTACAACGACCCCCTTGGATTTCGCTGATTTTTTGGTGGTTAGTAGTCCCCCATGGTGGGAGTTCATGGCCAAAATTTCAGACCTCAAAAAAATTTTCTCTGGGAGATATGGGGATTTTTAGTTTTTTTGGGTATTTTTACACTAATTTTGGGTATTTCTTATATCTCAGTGACTTTTTGCCCGATTGGTTTCAGATTCGGGTGCTAGCTTCAAAATTGAACGAGGAACACGATCGTGCCGTCAGATTTGACCTAAAATAATTTTTCATGGGAAAAACTCACTTTTTCTCGAAAAATTACATAAAAAGTCCCAAATCTTGGGATTTTGCAGTTAAAAGTACCCGATCTTTTTGAAACTGGTCTTATCTTACGCAGAAAGGTCCGCTGAATCCAAAAATCACAATCCCAGATTTTTCCGACGAACCGTTCCGGAGATATTCCACTTCAAAGTCAGGCAATTTTTTTTTCGGACTAAAAGTTGTGCGATTTTGCTGGGCTTTTCATTCTGAGGCATTGGGCGGTGAGTTCCAGTGACGCTGGCCTTGTGCGCCGGCTGGTTTTCCCTAGCGTGCCCTTTTAGCGCCTGCCAGGTAGGCCAAGCCGTACCGCAACACATGCGTGTCCGACTGGTGGCCTATCTCGCCCCTGACGCAAGCCGCTACCGCCGCAAACAAAGGCACTCCGCGCTCCGTGCGTTCGCTGGCCCAGCCTGAGGCTGGGCTTTGCAGACAACAGAGTAGCCTGCCGGAGGGTTGCAAATGACCAGTGGTCAGCCCCTTCATTCATCCATTGTATAAGCCAGTTGTTGAAAAGGAGCAGCTGTGCATTTCAACTGGAGCCTATGTTGTTGTCAGACTTGCAAGGAATCGGTATGTAGGTCTGATAACAGACATATACAATGAGGAACAAGAAAGGGATATCTCGCTGCTCATGCCCAGACTGCCATCAAAGGCCTTCGGATGGCCTTCAGAGGTGAAGACAGCAACAGTGCCAATACCTCACACTCTGTGTACCACTCAACTGATAGAAACATATGAAAATTGTTCTTTTTCTGCCTCTGCAGTTAATAGACTGGTGTCTTTGAAAATTATCAAAATGTAGTTTTAAACTTAAGAAATACAATTATAAAATTAAGAAAAACAAACTTTTGTTTAATTTTTTTTGCCCTAGCAAAGGGCAGACCACTGGTCATTTGCAACCCTCCGGGAGGCTTCTCTGTTGTCTGCAAATCCCAGCCTCAGGCTGGGCCAGCGAACGCACGGAGCGCGGAGTGCCTTTGTTTGCGGCGGTAGCGGCTTGCGTCAGGGGCGAGATAGGCCACCAGTCGGACACGCATGTGTTGCGGTACGGCTTGGCCTACCTGGCAGGCGCTAAAAGGGCACGCTAGGGAAAACCAGCCGGCGCACAAGGCCAGCGTCACTGGAACTCACCGCCCAATGCCTCAGAATGAAAAGCCCAGCAAAATCGCACAACTTTTAGTCCGAAAAAAAATTGCCTGACTTTGAAGTGGAATATCTCCGGAACGGTTCGTCGGAAAAATCTGGGATTGTGATTTTTGGATTCAGCGGACCTTTCTGCGTAAGATAAGACCAGTTTCAAAAAGATCGGGTACTTTTAACTGCAAAATCCCAAGATTTGGGACTTTTTATGTAATTTTTCGAGAAAAAGTGAGTTTTCCCCATGAAAAAATTATTTTAGGTCAAATCTGACGGCACGATCGTGTTCCTCGTTCAATTTTGAAGCTAGCACCCGAATCTGAAACCAATCGGGCAAAAAGTCACTGAGATATAAGAAATACCCAAAATTAGTGTAAAAATACCCCAAAAACTAAAAATCCCCATATCTCCCAGAGAAAATTTTTTTGAGGTCTGAAATTTTGGCCATGAACTCCCACCATGGGGGACTACTAACCACCAAAAAATCAGCGAAATCTAAGGGGGTCGTTGTAAGGTCCTGCTTTTCTTAAATAAACCTGCTCTCTACTTAATCGCAGGCGCTCCCCGCGGACAAATGTGAGCGAACGCCTGTAGAGCACCCGCTTCTCCCGAGGGGGGAGTTGCGGGAGGCGGAATCAAGTATTGTCAAACATACTGGGCCTGAGGTCCATAATCACCACTGATGCGGGGCTAGGACGACATATAAGCATAGGGCATAATTTTGTGAAAATTCACTGTATTCTTTCCTCCCCTCCCCTTTATCCCCGAGCCGGTGAGTGACCCTGGGGCTTGGGATCAAGTAGAAGTTATTGCAGGGGTCAGTTTTAGTCGGGCCGAGATGGCCTGGGACTCGCATGGCAATTGCCGTGGGCATGCAAGCGAAAGTCCACTCCTTGCACCATTTAGTGCAAATTTGGGATTTTTCGAAACTTTGGAGCGGTGTAGCGGCTATACTAGGGCCGGTCCCATACTTTCTGGCACCGGAACTCGAAAGATCTCCTCGAGACCTTCAAGAATCCGCTAGAAAAAGTTCAAATTTCGATGTCGGTCATCGAAAGATCCCTCGCCAAAGTTAGCAAAAATTACCTCATTTTTACATGTTTTTAATTTGCAACATCGCTTGGATCACCACGAAGATGACTTCAAAAGTAGAATTTGACCACTGGAGTCTCTTCCTCTATTCAATACGCATCTTTTAAGCACAAAATCATTGAGCTAGCGTTGAAATTGTGCCGTGGAGAGCCAAGAAAGGAACTTAGAAGCGCAATTTCAACAAAACCACTAAAGAAAGTTCAGAGAAATCTAAAAATTGCCACCCTGGGCGCAAAAATGGACTTAGGGACCTAAAAATTTGGCAATCGCCCTATCTCGACGAGTACAAAAAAATGCCAAAGCGGCGCGCAAATCGTCAATGGTCACCTTCAGGCCCTGGCCGAACCGGCATGGAATGTCTCCTACATGATCTGATGACAATTTTATCTTTATTGGGATCAAAATTGTGCAAAGTTGGTGTGAAAATAGAACATTAAACGTTTGCTCAAAAACCGCCATAAGCAAGAGAGAAAAAAGTCCATATAGATCTGAGAGTGAATGATCACAAGTTGTTAACAGAATTTTCCGAGGCCTTTTGCCACAGTGCTTCTCGTTGGAGGAGTCGATTTAGTGTGTCCACCAAGGGCAAAGTACGTTCTCACAACGCTCTCAACTTTCAGGATTTTCCGAGGACCCACAGCCCTTCAGGATGACGACCCACTTCAGCTACCCGGCCCCCGCGCTGCAAGAGGAGCTGCGCAAGGTGGCCGTCGCCATGGTCGCGCCCAAGAAGGGCATCCTCGCCACCGACGACACACTGGAGGGGATGGGCGACCGCCTCAAGAGCGTGGGCCTCGACAACACCGAAGAAGGGCGCCGCCTCTACCGCCAAATAATGTTCTCTGCCGATCCCAAGGTATGCACGTCGTCTTCGGACGACAGCAACACTGTCGATCAACAAAAATCACGTCATGTTCGTCCACATGTTAATTTTGTCACGTTCGTCGCAGAACGATTTCACTCTCGTTCCACTGAAAACGTAATGGTCGGACTCATGGCGAAATTACACTGCCAGAAAAAGTGTAGTTAGTACAACAAAAGTACAACAGAAACTGTACAATAAAAGTACAACAGGGATTGTAGAAAAGACAACGAGAATTGTACAAACCACAACGAGCCCTGGACTGCACAGCACTCCTCATGCCGGTTCCATTGTACTTTGTACAACAATTGTTGTACTTGGAAACACTGTTAAAAAATGGTTGTACAGAAATAATCAGATGAGTGAAAATTTAGTCGTTCCAAAACATAGAATTTCATCATGAACCAAAGCGAAACAAATGTCGTTGAGTCTAGTAAGCGACATTTTGTCGTTGAAGGACAAAATTCTTGTTATCACTCTTTACGATACATTTTGTGTGGAAACAACATCTTTTGCAATTATCTGCTCAATTAAAGCAAATTATGAATAATCATCTATTTTGTTCTTCTAAGTCATAGGGAAATTACTAATGTTTAAAAAACCATGCTAAATAAATCTAGCGACAAAAGTACTCTATGAATATTGTCGCAGACATTACAAAATACCTTTTGGACTTTCAATACTTGTCGTTGATGTGTTATTGTTGGTGCGTTATTACAATTTAGTCGTTGTGAAATTATCCCTTAGTTCCAATACGACTACGGTTTAACAAGCTATTTGTTCCACAACAAATCTTGTCGCTAAAAAAGTTAGGAATAAATGTGTCGCTAAGTTACGACAAAATTTTTATCAGTGAAGTACACTAAATCCCTGACAAAAAATTTGCCAGAAATTTGTGTACTTTTGTTGTGGTTATTTCCTGCAGTGTATAGCGTGACAAAAAGTCACGGCGAAAATTGGCGTGACACGAAATTTAAGCCGATAAACGGCGTGACATGTGAGTTACGCCCTTATTTGACCTGAATGACAACGCGTTTTATGAGGAAAGTCATGCCAAAAAGCGGCATGACCAGAAAGTCACACCAAAAATTGGCGCGAAGTTCTGAGTCACGCCGATTTTTGGTGTGACTTTTCTATCATGCCGTTTTTTGGCGTGACACTTTATTCACGCCCCTGCAGCGGCACGAAGTCACGCCGATAGATTTTCAGTGTCGGACGTGGCATGGCCGTTAAAATGAAATGGAATGTCTCCTTCGTTTGAACGTGGACCAACATGCGAACGAATGTCACGCCATATAGACACTTTCACCAGAGCGCCGAGTGAAGAACAAGAAGAATAACAAAAGCCAGAAACAGTCCATAATAGTCGCTCATTTGTTCATATTATGTGTTCATTTGGGTTCTAAAAATTGTTTAAAATTAGATAAAGACGAGTTTCATGATTTTGAACCGTCAAAACCTATAAATAAGACGTTTATGGGAACTGGTTCCGGTACCGTTTCTTCCTCTTGTTCTTCACTCGGCGATCTGGTGGAAGTGTCTATTCGGACGAACGTGACTTTTGTACTATGTATTTTTCCTTACGCAAGTTCTTGTGGGACGATTACGGACGTTCCGTACTTTTTTCCTTACTTCCGTTCTATATTCGTCTGTACATTTTCCGTACCTAAGTACGGAATTTTTGACAGTGGTTTACCACGAGCTGTTTACAGAATTTTCCGTAGCTTTTTGCCAGTGTCGTTGCACACAAATTTTTGAATGGTATACATGGAATGTTGGTTTGTGCACCCACGCTCCAACTCCAACTTATGGCTACGCTTAAATTTGAGCGTCAGCGGAATGAAGTTGAATTTTTTCGCAAACCGTTTCACAGAAACCTTTGTTTGAGGCGTTATCATTTTTATTTCATTTTCTTGCAGATTGGCGAGTACATCTCCGCAGTGATCCTGTCTCGGGAGGCGGTGCACCAGAAGGCAGATGACGGCTCTTCGTTTGTCGAGCTTCTCCAGAAACGCGGCATCATTCCAGGCATCAACGTGGACAAGGGCTTGGTGCCCCTCATGGGGTCCGAAGATGAGGTCACCACACAGGGTTTGTCTCAAATCACCACTGTTATTCCGGGGATGTGACGTCACATTCGTTTGTATGTTACACTCTAAACGTCTTACGGTGAAAAGCTGCACTTCTATATTATGGTGAAGATGTTCGTTACGATACGAACAAAATTCGTTGAAATATCTTTAAGGTAAATACTGTGGATTCTCGATGGTATGTTAAGTCAGCTGCAGCACCATAATATGTACAATTTTCACAATAGTCTTCATCATACACACGGTGAAAATGGTTCCCGGTTTTCCCAGGAACTCCCTGGAAATCGCCTATGTCTCTACCATAGGCTTCCTGGGAAAACCAGGTACCGTTTTAACCGTGCAACTTTTAGAGTGTAATAATTGTCTCAAGTTCGGTAATTGAACAGAAAGAGCATCGCTTCGTAATACGTGGAAAACGAGGGTATTGTCAAATCTACAAAGAGTTGCTTCGCATTATGAAAAAAAATAATCACTCGTTAAGTGACCCATTACGTAGCAATCCTCCAATGCCTTCCATTTTTCGTCAGTTACAAAGCACATGCATCGTACTAGTACCTATTGAACCAACAAAGCTTGAACCGATTCCGTGACCCAAGCCCGGATTTCGTTCCACCATGGGCTGGAATTACTCTCTATGGTTGGTTCCGTCTCGAGTTGAGTTGGCTGTTTGGGTTCCATCACCAAACTGATTTGGAGGCTCAACAATAAGAATTGGCATTCTCTCCAGACACAAACGGCAGGACAGAAGTGGACTAAAATGAGACAGACAGCAGAAGTAAATGGTAAAAATCGATTAACAACTCCCCCAGATCCACTTGATTATTACGGATTATATTTTCTTGGGCTTCCTATTCAAAAGCTTTCAGAAGTTGGTGTTCGTAGTACACGTGCAAATTGTATGTATGTTCTTTTTTACTCCCGTCAAACTCCATTGGCCTCTGATACTGCTCAAAGAGGCTAAAATAGCAAGATTGACCTCATCGTACTTTATATTTGGTGAAATTTCATGCGTTTTAGCTAAATCGACAAGTCAAAAGTAGCGCTTTCTGGAACGATTTCCTTAAAATGAAAAACTCCATCCCAGATTTTTTATATGTTGTTGCCAGGGCCCTAAGGTAGATTTTCATGCATAGAAATGAATTTTGAAAGGTGGGGCAAGGTTTAATATTTCGATTTTTAGGTAAAATTACTAGAAATTCTTAAGCCTTCAGTGCAAGTTGAGTGAGGTGGGGTCTATGACCGGAATTGCATTGGTCTATCATAAGACAACTCATATCAAACAAATCAGGCCTCAAAAATCCCCATTTCGAGAAAAAATTGTTTTTTCAAATTTTCATTGTACTAATTTCACTAAAATTGACCAAAAAACAAAAAGTGCCACAGCTCAGCCAAATGTTAATATTTTTCGACCAAATTTTTTTGGGGGTGATTTTAGGTATAGACCAATGATTTAAGACTGTTTGGAGCAAGTTCTGAGGGGGTTGGGGTCAAACCCCGTTCAAGTTGACCTGGATTCGCCCAAAGGATTTATCTGATGCGAAGCTCTTCTTCGTAGATTTTGATATATGCTTTGTTCTTCTTAGTATTACGGAGTGAAGCTCCTTACATTATTTTATCCTGACTGTTTTGTTCATGAAGTAACACGCCACAACGATCATGCTCAGGCTTGGACGACCTGGCACAGCGATGCGTCCAGTACAAGAAGGATGGCTGCCGCTTCGCCAAATGGCGATCCGTCATCAGGATCGGCGGCAACACTCCGTCGCCCCTCGCCATCCTCGAGAACGCCAACGTCCTGGCACGCTACGCCTCCGTCTGCCAGGCCAACGGCCTCGTCCCCATCGTGGAACCCGATGTGAGTTCCCCACTCCACAAGACCCAATCTGAGCTCGGGGCACATCTACTCCAGAAATGTACTTGACGAGACAGCTCTCACACTCTGAAAACCTTACAAATAATTTTAGGCTTTACAAACAATAGTAGCTTGTCATTACAAAGTATTTTTTGTATATGTAAGCCTCAGAGAATACACTGCAAGAAAAAGTGTGGCTAGTACAACAAAAGTACAACACAAAGTGTACAATAAAAGTACAACACGGATTGTAGAAAGTACAACGAGATTTGTACAAACCACAACGAGCCCTGGACTGGACAGCACTCCTCATGCCGGTTACTTTGTACAACAATTGTTGCACTTGAAAAGTACACTAAATTCCCGATAAAAAATTTGCCAGAAATCTGTACTTTTGTTGAGTTTATTTCCTGCAGTGTACTTTGTCATTTATTCACTAACTGATTCTTCTAAACTGAAAAATTAGAACGTTCCATATGCTCAAAATACTTCGCAAGGTTTTCGGTGTGCACACCGGGAGAAAAGAACACGGAATAAGTCTGGGCAACAATTGGTCTGAACCATCCGTACCTGCCAAGTACGAAACTTCTGCACATGCGTTCATGTGCACTCTGAATGTCTTACAATGAAATTTGAGCCATGTTGCAGAGAATTCGGCGCAAGCATAATACGAAGCAATATTTCTTCGTAATACGAATCCTTTTAGCATTTCCAAAGTAAGATCAAAGGAAAACCTTCATAATACGAAGGAAACCTACCTACCTCTGTCTGAGGCTTGCGCCATTACCTTCGTATGGAAAATTTCTCAGCAAGACATTTAGAGTGCGGTGCGGAGCAAGTTCGAACGTTCCGTACCTCCGCACTGCATTCTTCTGTACATTTTCCGTCAAAAATACGGAGTTTTTTTTTACAGTGCAGTTTAATTTGCTGTCCGCAGATTGTCCTCGCCGGTGACCACGACATCGACCGCGCCCAGAAGGTCGCCGAGACCGTGCTGGCCGCCGTGTACAAGGCCCTGCACGACCACCACGTGTTCCTAGAGGGCACCGTCCTCAAGCCGGCCATGGTGACGGCCGGCCCGGCCTGCCCGCGCCAGAACTCCCCCGAGGAGGTGGCGCGGGCCACGGTGGCCGCGCTCTCGCGCACCGTGCCGGCCGCCGTGCCCGGCGTCGCCTTCCTGTCCGGCGGCCTCTCCGAGGAGGACGCCTCGCGCTTCCTCAACGCCATCAACAAGGCCCCGGCCAAGAAGCCGTGGAGCCTCACCTTCTGCTTCGGCCGCGCGCTGCAGGTGCTGTGTCCGCACGTCTAAAACCTCACTGGGAATGACAAAGTCACTATCAATACCCAATTTTGGTCGAGGTATACTTTATCATCCAAATTTGGGCGAGGAGGGCTTTTTTGCCTAAATTTGGGTGAGGAAGGGAGGGTGTATCAGCTTGACTACAAACCTAACTGTCTACCAAGTACACACTTACAAACGCATGCTTGACGCATGGAGTTACTTGGAAGCATGCATTTGTAAGTGTGTACTTCGCCAAGCATGCGTTTGCAAGTGTGTACTTGCAAGCATGCATTTGTAAGTGTGTACTAAGTAGACAGTTAGGTTTGTAGTGTTCCTACATGGCTCCATAGTATTATGACCTAAATTTGGGTGAGAAAACCTTCCTCACCCAAATTTGGGTGATAAAGAATTCCTCGCCCAAAATTTTAGTCATGATCATGACTCTTTCATTTTAAGTGCTTGCCCAGTATTTTGAGCACATGCGAGGTATCATCTGTATTTAGTTTGTTGTACGAAGAATTAGTTCGTGAGTTACGAAGTATTTTCTTTGTAAGCCTATGTATGCTCAAAGTACTTTGTTAACGAGCTATAGCTTTGTTATAACGAGCTAACATGTATAGCCCAAAATAGATTTAAAGGTTTTTAGAGTGCGGGCACATAAAATTAGATCTTAATGTTTTGTGCATAAGCTTTGCACAAAACTGTGCATGCCTTTTGAAATGCACGAATTTGTGCGCAAACGCATGAATTAGTGCGTTTCACGTGCAACCTCAATTTTGAGCGAAATCTATGCACCAAAAAGCTACGTAAGTAATTTTGTGTGGGCCTCCACTCTAAAAGCTGCCTCGTATCTTCGATCAAAGAACAGGCATTATAGAATTATTTCGGGTTTTGAAAGAAAATGATTTTGCAGGAAATGGGACAAATCGACAAATCCTTTTAGACAGTTGCCTGCGAATGTGTTCGTATTAATTTGAACACAAAATCACACAAACAAGTTCGAAATTTCGTTCAAATTTCCACGAAAAGCACGTGCTGAAACTCGTGAGAGACCAAGAAAAGAAATCCTCCGAATTCGCTTCGGAGTACGAAGCTTTTCTTTGTAGATTTCATAGTTGCCAGCGTTAGCCTCGTATTACGAGGCAATACTTCTTAGAATTTTTCTTGTGAGGTGAAACAAAGGCATAAAAACTACGCCCAATCAGGGGCCATTACATGTTGTGGAGCGCGCCTGGACGAGAACGGCGTCGGTCCACTGCAAAACAAAGTTAGCAAGCAGTTTTGTCGAAATCCTCATTAGCTCAGCTTGCCAATACTTGGCAAGCTGGGGAGTGTATCAGGGCCGGGCTTGCCAATTTAAGGCATTCAAAACGGCTTGCCAATTTTGCGGCAAGCAGACTTGCCACAGGCTTTGCAGTGTTATGTTTCTGGATCAGGCGTGTATCGTGTCAGTCTGGGACTTCGAGGCAAAATTTTAACGCCCTTTCAAAGACAGCAACTTGCCATGAGGGCGTAAAAGGGGTTAAAAGCCAGCTGTTTAGCCTTGAAGCATAGAATCCGACCGCTATGAATATTGCGTCAAGAGGTGCAATGCTTTAGTATTGTACGTGCAGTGCAGTGCCTTCCCATTTCCCATGCATTTTCGGTACGCATTGCTTGTACGGTGCAAAAAGGCTGTAGCATTGCTCGAATCGTGCGATATCTCAATGCATTGTACCATACGTGCTATGTCCACAGCGTTTGGAATCTCAGTGAGATCGTAGCTTCTATGCTTCTGCCTGTGGCTTCATGACCGAAATGAGAGAAATTGACGAGATTCAAACGATAAATTTTGCCGGAAAAATTCAGCAGTACTTTTAGCATCACGATTTACTTTTCTTCCTGTTTCTTACGGCAGGCGAATTATTTCAAATGTATACCCCTGTGTTTTTAGGCGTCGGCTCTGCGTGCGTGGGGTGGCAAGGCTCAGAACGTGAATGCCGCTCAGAACGAACTGATCAAGCGTGCCCAGGTAAAGGAATGCGATTTTTTTTATCGGTTTTAACAACATGGCCTTCTAGCAACTGTTGATATTGACGTGTGGTTCATTTAACAGGCCAACAGCCTCGCTCAACAAGGAAAGTTGTAAGAAACTCGACTTGGAACAATCCTAAATGGATGCAAGACTATGTTGTTTCCGTGTAAAGATTAATTGGTGAATAAAAGCTCAACACTGTGTATACACTTCAGTTTGTGTTTTGTTGTACCAGAACAGAGAAACAAAAACACTTATATAATAACAGGTCAAGGTGTGGACGCCAGGCGTGGACTGTCGGAACTATCGCAGCATAGCGAAGCAAGGAGAAAAATATGGAAAATGTCATGATTCTGACCGAAGTGAAAAATTCACTGTATTATCACAGCTTAACGGGGCGAGATATCGCGACATCCCTTTGACATGAGATCTTTTTAAACTGACCCCTGCCCCTTTAAAAATTTCCAGCCAAACCGAAGAGATGTATTTCCAAGAGTTCGTTGGTTTGACAAAGAAACGCCCTACTTGAACAATGAAACGCTAGGATCTGGCACCTTTTATTGAACAAGTTTATTAAGGCTTTTCAAGGAACAAAATGACAGACTTTGAAACATTACAAATACAGGATTCTATGATGGAATTTAAAGTTAAGACATCAAGTAAAATATCCGACATAGCAAAACTATAAAAACTGACCAAACATTACATAAATACGACAACTGAAATATAGATCACAAATTGGATCTGTTCTCACATCTAAATGCGAGGGAATTGAAGGATGCAGGAAACCTGATCTACATTCGGAAAATAAGTAGAAACATTCATAAGAGTAAGTGCATTCAACGACATTTAACAAGTTTAAAAATCAAAAAAGTTCAAATTACATGTGGTGATTGCGAAGGCTCATTCCCCGTTGGAGGAGACAGCAGAGACAACGGAGGAACATGGAAGCTCGGCAACCTGCAAGCAGCCTCGTGGGCAGTCGGCAGTCCGACGGTGCAATGAGAACGACGAAACGGGGATGCGCTCTTTGTCGCAGAACCAACAGTCACAACTATTGCGCTCGTTATCCTCGTCAGAATAGCGGTTTTCCCAGACTTTCAAGTGAAGTAGAGGGTTCCTCTGGAGCAAGTCCCGGATGCCAGCGCTGCGCACCCAAGCCAGCAGGCAGTCTTCGTCACACGAGAGAGACAGCGTGGTGAGTCGGGGCGCGGACTTGGGTGTCACTGCCCGCAGGAAGTCATCCGAGGGGGACTTGCATAGTGACAGGTGACGCAAGGCAGGGAACCGGGGCAGGCAAGCAGCCACAGCCATGAGGTCTTGGTCCGACATTCTGACATACAAGTCCAGAGCCTCAAGAACATCGACAGAGTGCGATTCCGTTAGTATAGGGCCTGGAGTGCGGCAGCAGTAGGAGAGTCAAAGATTTCTACTATATCTGGTGTGAACGACACGGATCTGAGCTGCAACGACTGACGAATGAAGTCCAGAGCCGCAGGAACCGGAGGGCAGTTTACGGAACGTAGCTTTGGCAACGTTCTCAAGGTCAAGTAGACCTCGCCGTCATCGTAGTGTTCTGTCAAATCCACCTCTTCCAATGTCGCAGCATGCGTCTCCAGGAACAAATGAAGCCACGGTTCCGAGTACACTGTATATGTGTAATACCAAAACGTCGTTAGAGACGGCTCCTGTCTCGATAATAGAACCTGCTGCGGCGTTTCATCGTGTTTGATGAAAATCTTGAGTTCACGCAAACCCTGAAGGCTGTAGACCAGGTGGGTCATTCCACGTTATTTCACCGAGGTCGAGGGATGGACCACCTCAGAACTGGCTGAATTTTTGTGTTTCGCCACCATTTAGGGTCCTAATGAACGGTGTAAAACGGTTTTGGTCTGAGTCAAGTGGTTTGGGAGATATAGGCATAGCTCTTTTTTGGTACATTTCATTAAAAAATTTCAAAGTTTTACAAAAGTGCGCATATCTTTTGAACCATTTGAGATATCGAAAAACCGAGCAAAGCGCGTGAAAGAGGGTAAAATTCCGCTTCTAATGACGTATGAAACATGCCCATCAGGTCAAAATTTATTTTCATGTCATTTTTCACTTTTAATTAACTTTCTTGACCCAAAACACCAATTTCGTATTTTTTGATATTTTTTAAACTTTGCACGAACCTTCCCTTAACATCCCTAAACAACCCCTTAAAATATTGAGCTGTGTATTTGAGAGGCCTGGGAGATATGGGGGTACATGTCCACATCTGCACCCTTGGACCGCCCTAAAAGCCCGTTTCCGTGCGGTCCTCATCAGCGCGCGACGGAAGTATCCCAGATCGGGCAGTATGAGGAGTTCGCATAGTGATATTATCAGTGTCCACTGCGATCAAAACTTACCAAAAGGCTTCTTCTCTTGGTCGGAGTTCCTGCAAGGCTGCAGGTAGGCAACCCACGTACACTGTGGCTAAAAGCTACGGAAAATTCTGTAAACAGCTTGTGGTAGTTCTCCGTAGCCCCCTTGTCGGTATTCTCCGTAGCCCTCTTATCAATATTCTCCGTAGGCTCTTACAGTATTTTCCGTAGGACCGCACAGTATTCTCTGTAGGACCTTCCAGTGTTGTAGGACTATACAGTCTTCCATGCCCTACGGAGAAGACTGAGCGGTCCTACGGAGAATACTGTAAGAGCCTACGGAGAATATTGATATGAGGGCTACGGAGAATCCTGGCAAAAAATTAACAGAATTTCCCGTACCCTTTTGCCACAGTGTAGCGCATACACTAGGCATACACTAGGCGTGGGTGCCCTGGTGGGCAAGAACCACCCCACGCTGTACGTGATCCTGGACGACCTACAACAGGAGGAGGTGGCCGTGGTGAGACAAAAAAGTCTCGCGAGAAACAAATGTCTCACCATTTTATGGGCGAGAAACAAAGGTCTCACCATTTTTGGCGAGAAACAAATGTCTCGCCAGAATATGGTAATACCAATTGACTGGGATATTTCCCGGTATCCAATATAGTGGGGTTGCATATTTTAGCGAGACATTTGTTTCTCGCCAAAAAATGGTCATACTTTTGTTTGCCGCAAAAAAAGAACGTTGAGACTTCTTGATTCTCGCCACAGAATGGCGAGACTTTGTTTCTTTCCCCTAGGATGGAATGAATTCCGTACTTGGACTTTTCAGTGTGCACCTCTAAACAGGAGGGTTTAGGACAAAGGCCAATAAAATTGATTTTTTTTTTTAAATTTGGGACGATTTGGGACGGGCCCAGCTGGGGTTGGGACGAGATATCCCGGGACCGTATTGGCTCGGGAACGAGTCGACAGGAACGAGTTGTCCTAGACCCGGGTGATTCCACGCCAACTGAGTCAGTCACAAAACGGCATGGTCTCGGATCGGGACGAAACTTACGCAAATCGCAATGCTACTTCAAGATAGATAAATGCAGATATCTCGGGAACGAGAAATAGTACTTTTTGTGGTTGATCTCTTTCTTATCTTTGTTTCACGGGGAATTTTTTAAGACGTTTCCCAGCAAATTTGGTGGTGCAACTAACTTTCTACGATAAATCAAAGGTAAGGTTATTTGGAATCAAACACTATTTTTACTTTTTAAAAGAAAGTAAAGGAAGTACCTTTTAGTGAAATTTTCTCCTCTTTCCAACGGTATGCTTGGTTTTTCGATCCGATGGATATTACCGAAACTGCGAGCGAAAATCTGTCTCCGTGTCGCTGTCCCGGCACCATACTAAGCCTCTCAATATCTCGGCTTCTAGATATTTTTCGGCCAAACGCTTTTGGATTTAGTCATCCCACTACTAGACCTACGATTTGCGTAAGTTTCGTCCAGATCCAAGACCAGGCCGTTTTGTGACTGACTCAGTTGGCGTGGAATCACCCAGCCCGCCAGGGCATTAAGCCCGCCTAGTGTATGCGCTACGTGGGTTGCCTACCTGCAGCCTTGCAGGCGCTCCGACCAAGAAAATTGTTTGTTTTCCGTTCCCCTGTGACTCTAAAGAAGCCTTTTAGGAAGTTTTGATCGCAGTGGGCACTGATAATCACTATGCGAACTCCTCATACTGCCTGATCTGGGATACTTCCGTCGCGGGCTGATGAGGACCGCACGGAAACGGGCTCTTCGGGCGGTCCAAGGGTGCAGACCCCATTTCTCTCAAATAGTCAACTGAGCAGTTCTTGAACGTCAGATGTAGACTGTTTAGACGTTTTCAGGCTCTGCCAGACGAATCATAAAAACGCAAGCCGGAAGCGGAAGCGCATGGCGGACATTTTGGTCGTCAGTATAAGCACCGAAATCGGTCAAAAGTCAAGACGCGGTTCGCGGATCTCCCCTTTAGGGCCTTTTGGACTCTATAAGCAACTAAGTGTGCCGCAGGATTTCTCATACCTCGTCCGCCGCGCGAGCTTAAACTCGCAACGCTGATTTAAGATAGTTAAATGCAGATATCTCGGGAACGAGAAATAGTACTTTTTGTGGTTGATCTTTTCCTTATCTTTGTTTCACGGGGAATTTTTTAAGACGTTTCCCAGCAAATTTGGTGGTGCAACTAACTTTCTACGATAAATCAAAGGTGAGGTTATTTGGTATCAAACACTATTTTTACTTTTTAAAAGAAAGTAAAGGAAGTACTTTTTGTGAAATTTTCTCCTCTTTCCAACGGTATGCTTGGTTTTTCGATCCGATGGATATTACCAAAACTGCGAGCGAAAAACTGTCTCCGTGTCGCGGTCCTAGCACCATAATAAACCTCTCAATATCTCGGCTTCTAGATATTTTTCGGCCAAACGCTTTTGGATTTAGTCATCCCACTACTAGACGTACGATTTGCGTAAGTTTCGTCCCGATCCGAGACCATGCCGTTTTGTGACTGACTCAGTTGGCGTGGAATCACCCAGCCCGCCTAGTGTACGCGCTACACTGTGGCAAAAGGGTACGGGAAATTCTGTTAATTTTTTGCTAGGATTCTCCGTAGCCCTCTTATCAATATTCTCCGTAGGCTCTTACAGTATTCTCCGTAGGACCGCTCAGTCTTCTCCGTAGGGCATGGAAGACTGTATAGTCCTACAACACTGGAAGGTCCTACAGAGAATACTGTGCGGTCCTACGGAAAATACTGTAAGAGCCTACGGAGAATATTGATAAGAGGGCTACGGAGAATACCGACAAGGGGGCTACGGAGAACTACCACAAGCTGTTTACAGAATTTTCCGTAGCTTTTAGCCACAGTGTACGTGGGTTGCCTACCTGCAGCCTTGCAGGAACTCCGACCAAGAGAAGAAGCCTTTTGGTAAGTTTTGATCGCAGTGGACACTGATAATATCACTATGCGAACTCCTCATACTGCCCGATCTGGGATACTTCCGTCGCGCGCTGATGAGGACCGCACGGAAACGGGCTTTTAGGGCGGTCCAAGGGTGCAGATGTGGACATGTACCCCCATATCTCCCAGGCCTCTCAAATACACAGCTCAATATTTTAAGGGGTTGTTTAGGGATGTTAAGGGAAGGTTCGTGCAAAGTTTAAAAAATATCAAAAAATACGAAATTGGTGTTTTGGGTCAAGAAAGTTAATTAAAAGTGAAAAATGACATGAAAATAAATTTTGACCTGATGGGCATGTTTCATACGTCATTAGAAGCGGAATTTTACCCTCTTTCACGCGCTTTGCTCGGTTTTTCGATATCTCAAATGGTTCAAAAGATATGCGCACTTTTGTAAAACTTTGAAATTTTTTAATGAAATGTACCAAAAAAGAGCTATGCCTATATCTCCCAAACCACTTGACTCAGACCAAAACCGTTTTACACCGTTCATTAGGACCCTAAATGGTGGCGAAACACAAAAATTCAGCCAGTTCTGAGGTGGTCCATCCCTCGACCTCGGTGAAATAACGTGGAATGACCCAGGTGTAGGAGTTCAGAATCCGTGGTATCCAAGGCCGAAGAGGTCTCAAAATCAACCACTTTCAGACCACCGAGCGAGTGCACCGCCTGCAGTATGGTTCTGGACAAGGCCGCGCCCGACGATCCGGAAATCGACAGCTTCAGCCCAGCTATGACGCAAGCAGTAGGGCGTTTCAAAAAAATTTGATTTTTGAAAGGAGTTGGTTTTTAGGTTCATCTAGGTCCCGTGGGTCCCTTCAACCGGTGCGCCAGCTAGAGATATACCTAGTCTGAACACTAAGCGGTTAACTTATTCACACTAAAAGCAAGAAAAATATGGAAAACATGCTGGGACGCGCCTCGAAGTAGGCAAACCATGGTCCGACATTGCGTACCTCCCAGGCGCGTCCCAGCATGCTTTCCATATTTTCCTTGTTTTTACTGTGAGTATGAGAACCGCTTAGTGTTCAGACTAGGTATATCTCTAGCTGGCGCACGGGTTGAAGGGACCCACATGCCAATTTCACACCACCCACCTCCTTCCCCCGTCCCCCTCAAAAAACAATTTGATGCACTTTAGGCCCTGTCGCTTAGTCACGTGAGGCAGGGTCTGAGCCCGAATCACGCAGGCCGATAGGGGAAGACCCAAGGAACATCGCCACCAAATTTCAGAGAGTTCGGATCTCAGATGGCGCCACAGTCGCGGCGGAAAGACGCGGGGAGGTCCCCCTCCCAAGCGAGACCAATAGTTTTCTCGCGGTGTGCACCGGGTAAATGTCAACCGATTTCGCTCAAATTTGGTGTGAGGTCATTTGGGACATACATGAACCTTAAAACCGACTCCTTTCAAAAATCAAATTTTTTTGAAACACCCTATAGAGGGGTTCGTTTTGCACGAAGGTTCGAAATGTCATGGGGCCCGCTCGGATTCCGGTTCTACGTCCAATTATAAGATTTTTGACACCTTGGTCGACTTGATCAGACCACCGGAAGGGGTCGCACCAGGCCTCGGAAGTTCTAGTCGACGGACACGCCGGTTGCCGACTTTCCAGGGGCTAAACACGCGTAACGCTTCGTTTCTCAGAAAATTTCATAAAATGAAAGTTGTTGGAAATGTAAAAGTACGTTGGACACAAGTTTTTAATATTCAAAAACTCAAAAAAGATGGTTTTTTGTTGCCTACTTACAGGGGGCAAAAGGTCGGAAATCGACATAAAACACGTTACACATAGGAACTGTTACACAAACGTATGTAGGTTAGTAAAAAACAATAATATATAAGTACCCTGTGAGTTCCGTGTATTATAAATAATGTTTTTGTACCATTTTGCAGATTATGGTTACACAGTTCACGAACGCTGCCAAAAGAATTTGCTAAGTCTATCACATTTACGATCCACACTTACAACGAAGAGGAGAAGCTGCATTTCTTCTTCGTCAGTGAGAATCTCGTTTCCCTCGATGAGCCTGGTAACTCATTGCAACCCCACGTCATCTGATTTATTTACATTGTTAAAATTTGGCTCTCCTGGAAGTTTATGTCAGTATTCAAGACTGGTGTTCATCTACCAAGCTTGTAATTTCTCTCTTCAACATCGAAGTGGTCTTCGAGGAAAATAGAGACTAACAAGGGAACGTTTTTAGGTCATACACTCCGATTTCGACCAAACTTCGGGAAATCGTTCGTTGTTAGACTAGATTAAGATGGGCCATCAAAGTTGGTGCAACAATACATATCTAGAGGGTCAAATGGGGCTTCAAAGTTGAGTTTTTTACACTTGTTTTCCTGCTTTTTGGGCCTTTAAGGGCGAGTTTTGGAGTGGACTCTCCGTGTCAAGATTTACATCATTTCCGATGTGTTTTGGGTCGCTGATGCCGAAAATCACTATTATTTGAACGCCCGATCAAGTTTTCGACCAATTCCAACCAAGTTCCGAACAAATTTGGGCCTTTTTTGACGTAAAATTTGCAGAGAGCAGCTCCAGCCTAAAAAACCTTGGCCGGGGACCCCCTCAGATCTGGCTCCCTCCCGGTTTTTTTGGTTCCTCTAGTGAATACGAATTGCCGAAACACAAATTGGGCCGGATCCGACACCGATTGGCTTTTTGGTAGAGGTCAAAAACCCCGAAAAATGGCTGTTTTTGAGGGTTTGGGGCTTTTGGGGATCCCGGAACCTGCTGGCCAAAAAATCTACCAAAGTGTCGTTTCCGAAAGAATAAAGTGCGCTCTTTCGAATGCTGGGTCGCGCGAGGCTCTACGGCGTCGGGTTTGGACGCTACGGGCTCTCAAAGTTGCTCAATTTCACTATTTTTAACGAAGATTTGACCGTATGAAGGCTTTTGGAAGCAGGCCATCGGCGATTTCGCTCCTCTTTGGCTTAAATGGTGCCTACCCATAGGTAAACACCCCCACAAAATTTCAGCCATCTCAGGCAATTATTAGAGAAACTGTGAACAATTGAAGTGTTGGGTCAATTTGCCACTGACCTTCGGTGGTTTTGGGTCCAGAAAAAATAGTTGTTCTAATCACAGCTAGAGAAAGACAAGTCTGTCATCGAAAAAATGTTTTGAAGTTTCAAGACGTTTCAAGAGGTGTTGATCAAACAGAGATAGTTGAAAAAATTATTTTTTCTGGACCCAAAACCACCGAAGTTCAGTGGTAAAATGACCCAAAACTTCAATTGTTTACAGTTTCTCTAATAATTGCCTGAGATGGCTGAAATTTTGTAAGGGTGTTTACCTATGGGTAAGGCACCATTTAAGCCAAAGAGGAGCGAAATCGCCGATGGTCTGCTTCGAACGGCCCTCGAACGGTCAAATCTTCGTTAAAAATAGTGAAATTGAGCAACTTGAGAGCCCGTAGCGTCCAAACCCGAGGTCGTAGAGCGTCGTGCGACCCGGCATTCGAAAGAGCGCACTTTATTCTTTCGGAAACGACACTTTGGTAGATTTTTTGGCTAGCAGGTTCCGGGATCCCCAAAAGCCCCAAACCCTCAAAAACAGCCATTTTTCGGGGTTTTTGACCTCTACCAAAAAGCCAATCGGTGTCGGATCCGGCCCAATTTGTGTTTCGGCAATTCGCATTTACTAGAGGAACCAAAAAAAAACGGGAGGGAGCCAGATCTGAGGGGGTCCCCGGCCAAGTTTTTTTTTTTGGCTGGAGCTGCTCTCTGCAAATTTTACGTCAATAAAGGCCCAAATTTGTTCGGAACTTGGTCGGAATTGGTCGAAAACTTGATCGGGCGTTCAAATAATAGTGATTTTCGGCATCAGCGACCCAAAACACATAGGAAATGATGTAAATCTTGACACGGAGAGTCCACTCCAAAACTCGCCCTTTAAGGCCCAAAAAGCAGGAAAACAAGTGTAAAAAACTCAACTTCGAAGCCCCATTTGACCCTCTAGATATGTATTGTTGCACCAACTTTGATGGCCCATCTTAATCTAGTCTAACAACGAACGATTTCCCGAAGTTTGGTCGAAATCGGAGTGTATGACCTAAAAACGTTCCCTTGTAAGAAGCTACATTTGACGTAGGCTGCTACGATGAGCCACCTCTTTAGGCCTCAGTCACCCTTGCTGACACTGTGAATGCAAGCAGTTCTTGAGGTTTCTTAAAGCTACGAGGTTAGCAACTAGCTTTCCAAAAAAAGATTCCTCAGGCTTGAATACCGACATAAACTTCCAGGAGAGCACAGTGATGGTCTCAAATTTTAACAATGTAAATAAATCAGATGACGTGGGGTTGCAATGAGTTACCAGGCTCATCGAGGGAAACGAGATTCTCACTGACGAAGAAAAAATGCAGCTTCTCCTCTTCGTTGTAAGTGTGGATCGTAAATGTGATAGACTTAGCAAATTCTTTTGGCAGCGTTCGTGAACTGTGTAACCATAATCTGCAAAATGGTACAAAAACATTATTTATAATACACGGAACTCACAGGGTACTTATATATTATTGTTTTTTACTAACCTACATACGTTTGTGTAACAGTTCCTATGTGTAACGTGTTTTATGTCGATTTCCGACCTTTTGCCCCCTGTAAGTAGGCAACAAAAAATCAACTTTTTTGAGTTTTTGAATATTAAAAACTTGTGTCCAACGTACTTTTACATTTCCAACAACTTTCATTTTATGAAATTTTCTGAGAAACGAAGCGTTACGCGTGTTTAGCCCCTGGAAAGTCGGCAACCGGCGTGTCCGTCGACTAGAACTTCCGAGGCCTGGTGCGACCCCTTCCGGTGGTCTGATCAAGTCGACCAAGGTGTCAAAAATCTTATAATTGGACGTAGAACCGGAATCCGAGCGGGCCCCATGACATTTCGAACCTTCGTGCAAAACGAACCCCTCTAAACACCCTAGCAAGCAGTGGCGGACAGCATGGACGCAACGTCTTCCACCAACTCTGCTTCTCCTTCAACGTAGACTTTCCGGAGGCAAGGGGCCAGACTCAGGGCAGCGCGCATGAGGCCTCTTTGCTCGGGTGATGCCTCAACCTGCCGAGCAGTTGCCCGGAGTTGCCTGCGAGCGGCCCTGAGTTGCCCGGCGGTTGCCCGCGGGGTTGGCTGCAAGTCCACCATTGCACGAAGTTCCCGCGAGGAAAATTTAGTCCAGGAAACTAAGGTTATCACCACGGCAGCGGTTGAAACTTAATTCAAAGGTTGGCGGCGCACGCAGCAGCGCAGCGCGCAGAATATATTCTGCGCGGCATTGGCGGGTCATGGCTGTATGAAATTTTTACCGCTGCCGTTTGTCCCAGCTCAAATCCAAAGGCATCCACGTGTAGCTGATTTTCAGATTTCCTCCCCGTTGTGACGCTGCAAGGCCGCATTTCTCGGACGCGCGACCGCCGCTCCGCCCCGCTTGGCGTGGCGTCGCTCGGTGCGTTGTTGCCTTTCGACTAAAATCACCGGCAACTCTTGCACTTAGCAAACTTCTGAAAACACGTACATTCAGCTGAGATACCAGCGCTTGACGATCTCTCGGGACCAATTTTGCGATTTCAGCCCCATTTACAAACAACAGTGCAGAAGAACTTGGGAAGAAAACAATGAGCGAAAATAGTCAGATAGAGATCGCTGCCCGAAAATTTCAATGCATTCAATCGGTGGAAGCTTAAACGATTCCTTGTTGCTTTCTGGTCAATTTGGCTTTGGTCCGGCGCTTCTAGGTGCCGCCATTTTCGTTAAGAGGCTTTGGACGTGGTTAGGCCCTTTCGTACTGAACATGGGTGAGAAATCCTCCGAGAACTGTGGAAGAATAACCAGGTTGTAGAGCGCGTCGCGTTCTACCAAGCTCAACAAACCACTCCTTCAATAAAATTTGTTTCAAGAACCTATAAAGCCCCAATCCGACTGACTCACTGACTCATAGAAATGTTTGGGGTGAAGGAGTGGTCGTAGAGACTTGCGGTTTTTTCCATTCGATTCCAAATTTTATGGGAAAATTGGGAAAAATCCCAAAAGTCGAAAATTCCTTACCATTTCCGAGAAAACCTACTTTATCTACAAAAAAGGGGAACAAATTTCTCACCGTTTCCGAGCAAACCTACTCAATCTTCAAAAAAGGGGACCGACCGACTAGAAATTTTTATTCGCCCCATCGGTAGGTCTGGTCGAGACATTTCCGAATCTGTGCCGCAATCCGGTCTCCGTCACTGGCAACATCCTCAAAAAACGATTAAATAGGCCTAAATTCAACAAAATCCACTCAATCTTCAAAAAAGGGGACCGACCGACTAAAAATTTTTATTCGCCCCATCGGTAGGTCTGGTCGAGACATTTCCGAAACTGTGCCGCAATCGGGTCCCCGTCACCGGCAACATCCTCAAAAACGATTAAATAGGCCTAAATTCAACAAAATCCACTCAATCTTCAAAAAAGGGGACCGACCGACTAAAAAGTTTTATTCGCCCCATCGGTAGGTCTGGTCGAGACATTTCCGAAACTGTGCCGCAATCGGGTTCCCGTCACCGGCAACATCCGCAAAAACGATTAAATAGGCCTAAATTCAACAAAATCCACTCAATCTTCAAAAAAGGGGACCGACCGACTAAAAATTTTTATTCGCCCCATCTGTAGGTCTGGTCGAGACATTTCCGAAACTGTGCCGCAATCGGGTCCCCGTCACCGGCAACATCTTCAAAAACGATTAAATAGGCCTAAATTCAACAAAATCCACTCAATCTTCAAAAAAGGAGACCGACCGACTAAAAAATTTTATTCGCCCTATCGGTAGGTCTGGTCGAGACATTTCCGAAACTGTGCCGCAATCGGGTCCCCGTCACCGGCAACATACTCAAAATCAATCATCAATGGTCATCAAGAACCTATAAAGCCCCAAACCGACTGACTGACTGCGACTCACTCGCTGACTCACTCATAGAAATGTTTGGGGTCAAGGAGTGGTCGTAGAGACTTGCGGTTTTTTCCATTCACCTCTATCCTTGTCAAAGCAGTCTTCAATATTTTCCGGACCTTGTATGCACCCATTGACTGCCACAGTAGCCAATGCAACACAAGCTATCTATTTGGGCAGTAAAAGTAGCTTAATTATATGGTCAAAAGCTGTTAAATAGACCTTTCAAAGAAGCAGCACATTTACTTCCTTAGAATATTTGCCTTTGGTCACCACGGACTTACTGAAAATACTTCGGCACGCGCCCCACACATGCGGGGGTCTGGGGGCGGAGCCCCCAGCGAGCAGCGCGAGTTGTTTACTAAAAGTAAGAAGTAGGAATCGCGCGTTGAAATCATTGGAGCCAGCCGTTCAACCGGGCTCCGAAAGAGCAGGCATGCACCACCGTTCCCGCACTAATGCTTTTTCAAAGGGAGCGAGAGTGAAAACTCCTTGCCTCCAGACGCGGCCGAGGCCGAGAGTAGTGGGGGGAGCAGCAGCGGGGCCGCGCGCACCCCGGCTGCGGCGCGCAGCGGAGGACATCTGCACCGCCTCAGTTCAAGGCTGTTAGCAGCGGGTGGAAACTTCTTTTCCGAAACGGGCGTGCAGGCGTTTTGTTATCCGTTAACATCGGCCGATCGAAGCAATCTAGGTCAAATCTGCTTACATTTTCGGAATCAGCACAAAATTTGACAGGGAATAGAGTACTTTCTAGATGGCGAAACCAAAATTATCATGGTTATTTTGAAGCCTAAACACAAAACTGTTTCAAAAAGACCAAAAATCCCATGTCTCGTCGAGTAACATTTCCATCTTGAAAACGTTAATGTGAACGAACGGGGTGTCGTATCACAAATCCGAGGCCAGATTTGGAATTCTCAAAAAAAAATGCCAATGTATAGGCTATATAGATGGAGTAGGTAGCTACTCTTTCTTGCGGCAACGATGCCCGAAAATGGTCGGTTCTTGAGCCACGCGTTTGTTGTAAACACGTAATCGACTGAAATTCGCCGACAATTATCAGGATGAAATCTGAAAATTCAAAACAACGCATATAGCCTATACCATGGTAAAAGTCTTCAGGATTCCAAATCTGTTTTCGGATTTGTGATGCGACGCTCCGTTCGCTAACATTAACGTTTCCAAATCAGTCATTTTGCGCAAACCGCGACAGTGCGAGACATGGGATCAGGGCCTATCAGGGCCATATTTCGCAACACGTTTGTTTTTAGGCTTCAAAATAACTATGATCATTTTGCATTCGCCACCTATAAAGTACCCTATTCCCTGTCGAATTTTATGCTGATTCCGAAAATGTAAGCAGATTTTACCTAGCTCGCTTGGTTCGGCCGATGTTAACGGATAACAAAACGTCTGCACGCCCGTCTCGGAAAAGTAGTTTCCACCCGCTGCTGTTAGATTTCGAACGGAGCGGTGGATTCAAAAACCGAAGATACCGGCGCGTAGCTGAAGAAAGGGCGCACAGCGTTGAACCATTTTGGGATCCACCGCCTTGATGGGAAGACATGAGGTGATACGCCGTTGTGAAATTTAATATTTTTCACCCAAATCGACTCTTAGAATGAACTTTTTTTTTTCGCGCAACGTTCGCTGTGCGGTGGATTTGTTCCTTGTTCCATTCCGCACATTTTGACACCAGTCCGGTCTCAATAGCATTCTTAGTTTCGGCGCTACAGCGAATACCGCCAACCTCTGCAAGGACATACGCGGGTGTAAGGGGGGTGGGCTCTTCGGAATTGGGTTCAGCACGTCAAACTGCACCATAAAAACCAAAACCCGCTTTTACATGTTTTAGTTCCGGGTTGGTACGCTTTTTTGACTAATTATCAATTTTTGGCTTATTATCAAGGGGTTGATTTTTGCAGAGTAGTGGCGATCCGAGGCTGGCGCAGCCAACGCCAAGCGCGACTGCATTCGCCGAACTCGCATCAGCTCAGCGGAAAGGAAGAAGAGAGGAAGAAGAGGGGGGGGGGCATCGTGGCGCCAAAGTGCCTTTCGCTTCGCTTAAGTGCGGATGCAGGAGTACAATTCCCCCCCCCCCCCTTTTCCCCGGACCCTCATACACAGCCGCCTGAGGTAGGCAAAACACAAAACTTTGCCCCTGTAAGGCATGAGGTGCACAGTGGGCCAGACCAGAAGACCGGCGGAGGCGGCCAAAACTCAAGACGCGTTTCGAGCGGCTCCAGAGTCGCTAAATGTGACTCGAAACGACCGTGTGACCCCACCAATGGATTGCTCTCCGGACGAGGAATCCATTGATGGGGTCACACGTTTGGTTCGAGTCCTGTTCAGCACAGCAGACTCTGGAGCTCAAAACGCGTCTAGAGTTTTGGCCGCCTCCGCCGGTCTTCTGGCCCACTGTGGGGTGCCCCCCCCCCCCCCGGGTGAACTCTGAATCCGCCACTGCTCGCCACCGCCTTCCCGCTTGCATTGGCTTTGGGCCGGATGTCCGAATGCAGACCGGTCGACACAGGAGTCCTTGATGCCCCTTGCCTACGCAGCCAGTGGCGTGCGCAAGGGGGGGGGGGCGGGGGCACGCCCCCCATAGGCCACTAGACAGCCACCTGGAAGGCAGGCAAATTGCGTCACTTTCCCCCTGTAAGTAGGCAAAAAGCATAGCCTGACCCCTCCCTTTCAAAATTTCTGCGCACGCCACTGCACGCAGCCGATGCCGATGTTCCGTTCTCTCCCCCTCTCTTCCTTGCTGCCCCAGGAAAGACCAGAAGTTGAACGGTTTTCGCACGAAGTATTCGCCCGTGTTTTGCAGTGCCGTGGCGAGACGCGACAGGCGACGGCGAGACGACAGGCTTGTTGACCACACTGCGTTTTGCAGGGGCAAGCGGATTCCAACGTGCCGTGCCCACTGCTTCCTGACGCGACGGCGGGGGAAGAGGGGGAGGGGACGGCAAGTCGCCGCGACGGCTTCCGCCGGGCGTGCCTGCGCGCGGGGAGCCGATGCAGACCGACATGAAAATCGCGGTTTATCAAAAACGGCTTGACCGAAAAATATTAAACTTGGCAAAGACTGGGAATAGACCACGCCCGCCCCTG